TTTGATTATTTGACATGTTTAATGGCTTCCTTTTAAGATGACCATGCCACGGGACAAACTAAAAATAGACAAGTCTGCACAAACACCTCTGCCAGTTCTTCTTTCTGTGTCTCAGTCGTCTCGGTGACAGATTGTTGGCGCAATCTGTTGTTGGCATTAATGCTGTCACTATATTTCTGACTCCCGAGTACATTAAAGGGAATATACATCATTTACTTTTGCTGTAATTTTCAGAAATGGATGGAATTGGGGGGTTGGAAATATATAGCAAATAAAGTTACACTGACTTTTTTGAGGTTTTGGGTTCGAAAATGCTATAAAAACCAAGAAAAACAATCGTTTTCCTGTAGTCTGGTTCCCTGACTCCATATAAGAAGAAACAGAGCAGTTTACATACATTGGAGAATTGTAAGGTCAGGGAACCAGTCTAGCTGGCTTGTACCCGTTCATAGGTGTGTAATCGATTGCAAACAAGTGCGATGGTCAATTGGGGCCAGTATTTGATAAAAAGCCAGTTTTTTCCAACGCTGGTCGGCCGATCAGCGTTGGAAATTGATACAAAAATACCACTTTTCTTGAAAATGACAGTATACCAGGTGCCATGATTTTACAGGATGCTTTACACTGTCATTCACTAACAGTCCAGCAAGGTATTTCAAAATGATTTGGTAGTTTTATTTTTTGATGTTTGCAAATGTTGTATTTTCCCTTTAATACATGTGAATAACACAATGACACATTGCAGGGTACCGGGTACGTACAGTAAACTAAAGTCTTGCAGTTGGCTCTACATGTGCACTCTAAGCACATACGGCCATTTTCACAATCAGTGGTGTAACTTTGAAATGCGGAGGTTTTGGTCTATATTTTTTGAACCAGTGGATGGAATTCTTAGATTTTTGGTCATACAACTAACCTGGGTTAAAGGCTACCTCGGGTAGCTTAACAAAGTTCCCGTGTTTCTTCATAGGGATATCTCAGACCCCAGAAGGGGCTTAATCGTACCACTTTTAGTGGTCCGTTTTTAGGTACCTTTTTTTTAATTCAACTTATTTATATTATTGAGCATGCTATTCCAAGTTGCTTTTGGGCTGTGATTAAGCACAAGGGTTGGACCTTTCTGCCATATAATTTTGACCACTGTTTCTGTTTCCGTTCTGTAGCTATGTCATTAAGCGTTGTCATGTTTCGGAGGTTACATTTTCCGTTAACTTTTAGTGTCAATATATTATGCATCCCTTCTCATATTTGGAAATGGTAAATACCCTACATTTTTCAAACTTTTTGCTGCCGATTAAATCGACTGCGTTACATGATTCTGTCATTTAATTAAAAAATGCTGCAAAGTGTAATAAACATGTACCTGTTGGATCAGTATTATGCCAATTGGATACCTGCGTAATGAATGTAAGTCATTTGAGCTGATTCTATTTCCACTTTAATCCTCCCACATTCCAGACAAACAGAGCATGCAAACACACAAAAAGGGAACCTGCCGTTGCCATAGAAATACTATTCATATCAACATGCGTGTCCTTTCAATAAGGCCTGCCCTGGGAAATGGAATTACAGGTGACATATGGCCTGGATGCCTGATCCTATCACCGGAGGCGGAGGGTACTACTTGGCAATCTTACATCTTGTAATGCACTGTATATTAGTCTGTGCACAGCTGTAGGACAACGTGACCAGGGGAGTAGCTGTCAGCATCAACATTTCTTAGCATTGATCATAGTCGACCGTCTTTGAATTGAGTTTTGGTCACACTTGTTTTGTTTTTTTAACTGCTGTTTCATCCAGATATTTAATCATAAAATGTGGAATTCTGATCCTGTTGTACTTGCTGTTTGTAATGGACAAAACTTCTTCTTTAAATGTACATGTATTCCAAGCCTTAAGATACAATAACCATGATGTATGTGTGCGAAGATGCTTATGTACACGATGTCCCTTATTTTGTAAAATTTGACACTTTGAACATAATTTCCTTTGTATTGAACATTTTTTTTTTTAGTTTGCTGAAAAGGTAAAGGTACATATTAAAATGTATTTTTTTTTTGGAAAATATGATAAAATGAATTATTCCTAGTCTACACGTGAACAAGAGTACACATGTATACATGTGCCTTGCAGTGGATTAAGTTTGTGGTCGATATGCGTTGGCATAGACCATATGCTTTCCCGTCATGAATTATACAATGACGGTCTTGCACTGGTGAATGCTCTGGGTACGTTAAATCCACCTGTTTTGGGTTTTTTTGAGCTTATTTTGCAAGCAGACTTTACCCACTTAAAAAACACACATTACATTGTGGAGCCCCACAATTGTTGAATGCAGCTAGGCATACTCCAACACACAATTTATTTGTTCGCAGCTTTTGTTAACACAAGCAAAGCATACAAGTAAGGACCCTACACAAATAGCACAGCATGCTTCACCTTGATATTTAATGCAGACGCACTCCTGCAAGCTGCGCCACATAATGCGTAATGTGCTTTCATTTCATCCACTATACAACATTTCATGTAATAACATGAAAGTTAATTACTGTGGGATGCAATGGACCTTTCCTGCCGCACGTAATTTACATTATGTATAGTGAACTTTTCTTCTTTTTTTTCTTTTTTCTTTTTTTACAAATGAAGCCTATAGCAATGATAAAGGTAGGACCGTCATGCACCATGTTTAATTGTCTTTGATACTTTAATTTGATTCGTCTACAACCATCTATTGTCCATTTTGTACAAAAGACTGTGATATCATTTACATGGCCAAAACACCATGTAGCACATCCTCTACGTCAAAGATTAAAGTGACAGCGAGTGAAAGAGGGATCTTCTGAACATTTGGACTAGTGCACTCTCGTCACCATCAGTAGACTGAAGGAACTAAGCAATATTATTGCATCGATAAGCTAAGCTTGGATTCAGTGGTACCTTTCAGGCACATGGGATACCTCTCAATACAAGTAAACACACATACTGAAATTTGTATTCCTATGGAGACATTTCTTTGTTCTCGCGTAGTAAAGTTTTCAAGTTTGAAAGTACAGTTTCAAAATGCTCTTATTTTAACCAGAATTAATTTCCTTGGCTAAAATTCGGACTTAATATCCCTTTTCTAAAACCCTTCCATTTGCGACACATCAACCCACCTTGGAAATTCCTAGTTTTTGAGTAAAATCCATACATCTATTTCGTGAAAACCTTGTGGAGACGTATTCATCTATAGAAATTGCCCTGTGGAGACGTATACAATCTTTTGTTCCCTATTGTGTGCATGTCTCCAGAGGGCGCGGTGTATCAAATCATACACACACACACAACAGAGAAAATAATTAAACAGTACTTTCAAGCACCACAGCCCAATGTTGCATGTACCCAGTGAATTCTTCTCACAACAATGGGTTTGGAGGACATACATGTACAAATGATAAATAAAATGACTAAATTTGGGGGGGCAAATCGTCCTTACTCCGAGCAGCTGAATTGCAAAGGACGCAGCTACAATGCGGTCAAGCCGAAGACATGTTAAGCCACCCTTAGGTCGACCTTGCGACGACACAGATCAGTCGGTGATTGGCTTTTCAGGATCAAGCTGAGTTGGAGCCACGACAGTCAGAAACTAATTACTCGCCAATTTTCTGACACCCGAGTGTACTTGCGACAACATTAAGACGATCGGAATCAGTTGGCAACAACAAAATTAACAGTCCAAAACGTGGAACATTTCGACTTTTACAACGTATTCCCGACAGGGGGGAATCAAATCACAGTCGATCTGTGTTAATTTACGACATCGTGCACGCATCAAAATCATCCTTTTTCATGGTGTAGCCAATCAGAACACTAAACCGGCACACAGTGTTCTGCATCACATCATGCAGCACGTGCGTGCTTTTCTCCATATAAGGACATCGTTTACTACAACTTGTGAGTGGCACATACCATACCGTAGCTAATTTTGAACAAAATCGTTTGAAATTTATAATTTTTATGTCTTTCGACTTTTTGACTCAATTTCTTTATGAATGGGAATACAAGTATGTTTCAGACCATATAATGGCCCAAGCCGAACTGGCCAAGCAAATATATATTCCCTTATTGTTAAAGAAATCACATGACTGTCTATGCCGTGAAATTGTCGCGGAACATCACGTCATGGGTGACACAAGCATTGGTTGTGAGTATTTTGTGTCGACATGCTGCGATATTTTTCTTTTGAAGTTTCTCAGACTTGTCTCCGCCCCTCATATATTTGAAGTCCACAGTGGATGGACCGGGAATCAGTCTAGGTCTCTCCAACTCTCCTTTTCTGGCCGTTAAAGGTACTAACGGAGCCCATTAGTTTCAAATGTCGAACTATGCATGTACTTAATACACATCTCCAGAATAATTTGATTGAGCACCAGTCAAGTCTGAACCCGGTGTCCAATCATTCGGACAGAGACTGACCAGCCTCGACTCCATGGGCGCGTGCGCTTTCCTTCACTAACCCCTGGCCGTGATGTACACGTAAGCCATGCTGACTGGCTTTTCACAGCGTACTGCGCGCATTTCGAAGATTGCACGCCGGGCGCGCCCACAATGCACTCGCGTGCTTTGCACATCACGTCACGTACGAATGCTTTTTGTTATTCAAAACTCGCGATGCCTGTACCATATGGATTATGGCAGCCTCGTTTTTCGCTAAAAAAAAACCCTGTATCTTCGGTTGCAAAGGGACGAAAGGGGAACGTAAATTTAATACAAATCTTTGTTAAATAATGCAACGTCCATACCTTATGTTTGAATTGATTCTTCAAAATCACAACTTTCAACTTTTTTAAGATGGCGTCGGCACGTAAAACGGATAAACTGCAGCCTAATTATAAAGTGAAATATTTTGACACATTTAAATTACACAATTCCAGGGGTTGAGATCGCGCAAGGCATGATGGGAAACAACATGGCGCAGCAAGATCTCGTACCCATGGGAACGAGGTTGGAGACTGACTTACCTTCCATTCTAGTAGGCAAGGCAACAGCTGGGGGCAGTGAGATATGCTTGGTTTGGCCGAACATGGGCGCCAAGTTGTCATAGGCCGTGTACTGCATCAAGGCTTCCAACAGCCAGAAACAATCTGTCAATAGGTTATAAATATCAAACGTGAAAGTAGAGTGTTGTGGTCTTGTGGTCTAGTACTCAAGATGTGGGGGCGCCCTTTACAGCACGCCCATAATTGTGCACCCAGTATTCGGACACGAAAGTGCTCAAACGAAATGTTGTCATTCAGTTTTACTGCACAAAACATATAAAAAAAATTCCCGGGCATAGTTATCAAACTTTAAAAATTAAAAAGTAACAATTATATTGGAAATTTTGCACGAACACCGCCTGTACATGTACTTCGCGTGCCGAAGCAGAATCAGCCTGGCACGCGCACATCATGCACAGCATGTTTTAATTGGCATGAACTGCAATGGTGAAACCTACGAAATCACATATAAATTACATACATAACGAAGAACAAATAAGTTCGCATACTTAGCAAAAACCGTCGTTTTTTTTATCTTGTTCCAAATGATGTTTGCTTGGTATTTTTTTCTGAAATATTTTGTCGCTAAATAATGAAAAGCAAGCGTGCGTTGACTGGTCGATGACATCAGCTTTTGCAGCTGGTTGCCGTCCGTTCCAACTAAGATATTTTTGGGGATGGGAATCGGAGCACAAACACGCAGTACGTAATCGAGGGTGGAGCATGGACCATGCATGGAGGAATTCTTCAGCATGTATGGATCAAGGATCAAGGATTAAGGCGTGCGGTACGTAGGCTACATGTGGAAATATATGATACTTTCTCTTGGGGGGGGGGGGCTAAGTGCCGGGATTGCGGTTTAAAAGTGAATCACAAGCTTGTTATTAATACTCGGAAGGTAAGATTTGTTTGGTTATTCAATTGTTTACTTGTTTTTGGTTATCTAAAAGTGGAATTTTTGGTTGACGATTTTTTTTTCAATTCCTAATTTTCTTCGGTGGCGGATCGATAATCAAAGTGATTTTTAAAAAATGGCCTTGTCACTCATTGATTCTCCCCATGGGTGTAAAAAAAACACCACTTATGTCTACTAGAGCAACATGAATACCAAATTGCAACATCTATGAATTAATGTTCAGCCCGCATGGACCAGTTCAATTCTAAAGCATGTACATTGTGTGGAGTGCTGTGGCCTCGTGGCTAAGGGCATTGAATTCGTGGTCTGTGCGTAAAGCTGCGGGTTGTGGGTTCGAGTCCAGCCGGGGTCATGGTGCGTGTGCCCTTGGGCAAGACACTTTGTCACTCATTGCTTCTCTCCACGCAGGAGTAAATAGGTACCTGTGAGGGCAGAGATGGTTATGTGATTGATTAAGCTTGCTTGCGCCTAACAGGCAGCATCGAGCTGTATACTCCCCAGGGAGCTGAGATGGTATTTGGAATGTTTAATTGGCCCAATGATCAGGGGTAATAGTAATACTGTAAGTGCTGTGATTTAGATTACTAATAAGGGCATTCTTAAATGCTGATCATTATTATTGTATTATTATTATGTACTAGCCCATTGTTGCTACCCCAATGAATTCTGATTGGGCAAGTCAATCTGCAAACTAAGGCAGCATTATTAGGAAAATCTTCCTATCTGTGCTCTAGGTTTGGTATGGTGTAAGACTCACCGGTCTTCATGTGACTGCTGTCCAGGCAGTTGGAGTCTCCATAAAGGACAATGCGGCCAGACTCCAGACTATGCTGATACATCCCCAAGATGGGTACACCATTGACCAGGTCTCCTTTGCCGTGGATAACGTCTTGGCCTTGGTCTTTCAAGGTCTGGTGAATAAGAAGACCTCCTGACGGGAACTTGACGATACTGCTGCCTGACAGAAATGAAGCTGGAAAAAAAAATAAATATAAACAGATAATTTCAAAATCAGCTCAGTTGGAAGTTCATTGTTTTAGACTTCCGAGCAGGTTGCCTTTTCTGCTTTGAGAGAATGGCGAGTAACAAGTTTTTGATACTGACTTTACCTCTGGGTGCTGTCATTTTATTGGCTCTGTATACTTGGTGGTGTATAGCTTGTGAGAAAAGATGACAACGAGCTTGAACCCATGAAGTTCTGCTAACTAACGAATTATTGTTCTCATACAATGTATTGAGTTGATGACCGATTATCACCCTGATGACACTGGATAAAACAAAATTCAAGTTTGGTGTTCCAGTCCTTCAGATTTCCAGGCTTCATTTTCCTACTTCCTGCCGCCGGTAGGTCCACCATACCTTTATGATCATTTAGGTGGAAGTCTCCTTCGTAGACGCCGTCGCCATACGCCATGCCAAATGGCGCCAGGAGATCATTGAGAGCCGGGATGTTGCTGCCACCGGTATCCGGCATCCACCATTGCCTTAACAAGAGTCAAAAGGTAGGGGCCGGTGAGTTCAAACTTGGGCAAGTAACTTGATGAATTAACAATACATACAATATACACCTCCAAACTTTTTTTAACAACTATTTTTTATTTACTTTTAATGTCAACTTCCTATATTGTTCTGGAGTTTGATAATCAATACCTCAATTAGATAGCCCAGACCAACCTACCTTGTGTTCTCATCGTAGAATTTCACCTTCTTCATGACAGTGACATTGTACCAGTCAGCAAAGACGATGACAGACAGGCCCTGATCAACATCACGCTTCAACTTGGACACCTCCTCAGGGTAAAACTCTTCCTCTGGGTCAACAATAAGGAGAGTTCCTAGAAAAAAAACAAGAGAAGGAAAGACCACATATGAAAAGACTTTCAGACACTAAGCTATCAGAACTGGCACTTCTCAAAGAAGCTTAACAGCTGTTTCAGACTGGTGTTCCAGAGTCACGCTATAACAAATAAATCTGAGGAGTAAGGTACACAAAATGTTCGACCTGTGAAACAGTAAGGAGCAACTCAGTTAAATAATCGACTGTGGCAGTCAATCACAATGATTCTGGTGTCTATACTGTGGAAAAACAATATACAAATACAACATGGTTTGAGGGTGGATAGTCGGTACCGTAAACAACACCGTAAACATTGACTTGCACTCACCTGCATGTGACTGCTACCAAACTCAACCAAAGTGAGAAAAAGTATGAAATAGAATTTTGTGTGTACCATATTGTTTAGCATCGAAGCAGGTGAACGGTGCTCCCAAAACTTCCACAAAGAATCCAGCTTCCCTCAAGTGTTGATACATGGCTTTGAAGTTGGTGTGGATGTGGTCACCATTCCTGAAAAGATAAATGATACACAAATTCAGTTTGACTCCAAGAATTTGTGACAATGGAACAATACTATAACTCATTAGTGCCTGTACTGCCCTGCCTGTTACTCCCTGTACCGTACGCCCCTACATTACCTCAACACTCTATGATTTAACCCTAACAGTCCTAAATCCTCCAATTTCAATATGATTTTGCACACCCACTAGGGAGTTAGGGTTAATGGCTGGATTCATCAGGGAATGAGTACAATGTACAGTGATATCTCGATAACTCAAAACCACTTAACTCATAACCCTTCTAACTCAAAGTAAAAACTTATTCCTGTAGAAAATCCATTGGATGACTCAAAACTCTGCTTAACTCAAAATCTGAGCCGATTCCCCTGAGCTTTGACTTATAAATCAAGATTCCACTGTACATAGTGCTAATGGGATAAATCAAACAACTCCGTAAACCACTTTTGTCTTTCCTCCCTATCTGCCATCTCAGTATCGGCAGATCGTCTTGTACAGAGCTCACCATACGCTTGCCTTCATCAATGTCAACAAGTTTTCCGTCATTACCAGCCAAAGAAGATTCACTAGACAAAATTCAGGCCTGTCATTCTCTCGTCCTCAAACAAATAAGGATTGCTACAAGTTTTCTTTCTTGCTAAGAACTGTAGCCCAAGGGAAGGCACTACCGGTAGATATCGAGGACTCACCAAGTCAAACTGTCTTCAAATCCAAAACCAACAACACAACCCTCCTCACACTCACAAAGGGGGCTCTTAATTAATATGGTGCTAAGTACCGCGTCTGTGCCCTGTGCTGGATAACCTACATAAGCCCTGTTCACACTAGAGCCTCTTAACCCGGGTTGAACTCAACCCTGGGCAAACCCAGTGCCGCTCAGGGTTGAGTTTTTTAATTTTCAACCCCGCGTTCAACCCCGCATCGTTTCACACTTGTTTCATGCAAATCAAGCTTATCATGCTCAGTTACTACTGTTTTGAACCCTGGCAAGAATTTCAACCCGGGTTGAAAATCTCAACCCTGGTCTGCAGCAGGGTTCAGTTCAACCTGGGGCGAAATCAATCTCGGGTTGGACGCAGGGTTGACGCAGGGTTGAAATTCTTCAAGTGTGAAACGATGCATGTTTTCAACCCTGTGTCAATCCTGTGTCAACCCCGAGATTTGTCTAGTGTGAAGAGGGCTTAAGGAGTTTGCACAGTATCCTACAGATGTAGATAGAGGATATGCCAACCACATAAATGCGAAACTAGGCATCAAGCATGATGCCTACAACAGAAAGATACATCAAGAATCCATTGACCTACCAATCTAAAGGATCGGTCTTCATGCGTAGATTATCACGTGGGAAGTACCCCGGTGGGTAGCGTAGGTTATGATACTGATCCCATAGGACGCGTTTGTTACGTTGCGGTGTCGGGACTATGTGGACCTTGACAGGTAGCTTGAGAACTGACTGCCGTGGTTGATCCTCTCCACTCTAAATAGAATTAGAAACACATTTTGTCAATGAGGGTTGGAAAAAGGGTACTAGTTCATATGTTCTTAAAGAGTTCAACCAGTCACGATTTCATTTTTTATTTCAAGTGTCTGTTGTTTTTTAAAACGTATTACCAAGGAGCCATGGCGTTCTGTCGAAGGCGGGAAGGGAGGCTAAGGGTAGGGTTGGGATTGGGCATGATGGGGATCAGGATTCAGGATGGTGTGCCAAGGTGTAGGGATCAGTTTTTTTTTATATGCCAACATAAACCATCAACAAATGCCCTTACATGTATGTACATGTACCACATCACTACCACTTCCCACACCCCAACCCCACCCCTACCCCCAAACCCCAACCCAAACCCACTAACTAAAAGATCGAACTAACTAAAAGATCAAACCAAATATGCTCCTCTAAAATTACATGTACAAGTACATGTATTCGGAAATTAATATGTATGCACATTGCATACCGGCACATACATGTATGAATTAAAAACTTTAAAAAAAAAAAAATTAAATTAAAATTCAACAACAAAATCATAAATTTCCTGCAAGGCAACAAACCTAATTGGAAGTTGTAGAGCTGATAACATTTTATTTTTGAAACTGAATTAGCCAAAAGCAAAAACTTGAACATTTTTAGCTGAATGCGGTGGACGGCCGGGGCGACGGAAATCGATATTGCGTATGCTCGCATCTGCTTCCCAGCTCGCCAAAGAGCATGCTATGGAATAATTACTTTACAAATTTGCAGCCCGACAATAATTCAGTTCTTGCAAGGTAAACTGGTTCCCATCGCCAATTGAATCAATAATGTACGGACCAGGAACTACCCTCCTTAGCAAAAGCAACCAACAAGAACAGTTTTTTTAAAAGGTTTGCAAACACCCAAAACTGAAAAACAAAAATCTATAAAACAAAACACACAAGATAAAAATTGTTGGTGATCGTGTAGTGTAGGGCCCTGTTCCTAGTACAAGGGAACAAAATCCACTTTAAAATTATTGGACCTACCAAACTAGTTGGCGACATTCTCAATGAACAGGTATGTCACAGATAGAGGGCAGGGTTTTGATTTTTTGAGGGAAATTTGGGGGTAAAATGATGATGACAGCGCGGCGAAAACACGCGACCCGAAAATAAAGATGGCGTGAGCACGCACTACCGTGAGCACACACTGCGTGCTGAATAGCAAGGCACAAACCGTGCAGGAAAATTTCTACCCCAAGAATCTGTTCAAAATTGCAAAACGGGTGTCATTAAAATTGAGAAAAGTCTGTTTTTGATTGTAAAGGTACGTTTTGAGCAATAAAAATCATTTTTTACTCTAATTTGATCAAAACAAAACAGGGGCCCAACACTTTACAATCGCCAAATTTTTAGAACAAAACCTGGAATTTTAGAAGAGCACTGACAGTATAAATAAAACAACGATGAGTTTGACCCTGCTGCAAGCTGACCTACCTCTGGTGGCGACTCCACCGTGAGTGTAATTTGACCCTGTGCGATGCCCTCCCATGATGCTGCACTGCTGGAGACGGTGAGAGAAACGGCCAGGAAACCAGACCATGGCCACAGAATGCTGGAATAGGACATAGCAACCTGGATGGATAGAACAAAATGATACTGTGACATGACATTCTAGACCACGGCCACAGAATGCTGGAATAGGACATAGCAACCTGGATGGATAGAACAAAATGATACTATGACAATGACATTCTAGACCATGGCCACAGAATGCTGGAATAGGACATAGCAACCTGGATGGATAGAACAAAATGATACTATGACAATGACATTCTAGACCATGGCCACAGAATGCTGGAATAGGACATAGCAACCTGGATGGATAGAACAAAATGATACTGTGACATGACATTCTAGACCATGGCCACAGAATGCTGGAATAGGACATAGCAACCTGGATGGATAGAACAAAATGATACTGTGACATGACATTCTAGACCATGGCCACAGAATGCTGGAATAGGACATAGCAACCTGGATGGATAGAACAAAATGATACTGTGACATGACATACTAGACCACGGCCACAGAATGCTGGAATAGGACATAGCAACCTGGATGGATAGAACAAAATGATACTATGACAATGACATTCTAGACCATGGCCACAGAATGCTGGAATAGGACATAGCAACCTGGATGGATAGAACAAAATGATACTGTGACATGACATTCTAGACCATGGCCACAGAATGCTGGAATAGGACATAGCAACCTGGATGGATAGAACAAAATGATACAGTGACATGACATTCTAGACCATGACCACAGAATGCTGGAATAGGACATAGCAACCTGGATGGATAGAACAAAATGACACTGTGACATGACATTCTAGACCATGGCCACAGAATGCTGGAATAGGACATAGCAACCTGGATGGATAGAACAAAATGATACTGTGACATGACATTCTAGACCATGGCCACAGAATGCTGCAATAGGACATAGCAACCTGAATGGATAGAACAAAATGATACTGTGACATGACATTCTAGACCATGGCTAGAGAATGCTGGAATAGGACATAGCAACCTGAATGGATAGAACAAAATGACACTGTGACATGACATTCTAGACCATGGCTACAGAATGCTGGAATAGGACATAGGAAGAAAAGTTACTTAAAGGCAAAATACAAGATTTGCTTTTGCCGTAATTTTCAGAAGTGGATGGATTTGGGTGGTTAGTATTTTATAGCAAATATTGTTACACGTATTGTGCTCATAGATGATGGGAAACCAAGAAAATAATGCAGTTCTGGTAATCTGGTTCCTTGAACCTACTTCAGACGAAACAGAGCAATTTATAGCGTCAAGGAATCGTCAGGTCAGGGAACCATACCAACTGGCTTGCACCCGTTCACGGATGTGTAATTGAGTGCAAACCAAGTTTGGACTAACTAACTTTGGTAAATTGGGGGAAGTGTTTGAAAAAAAGACGAGGTTTTTTTTGCAATAATGGTCGGCCGACCATTGTTGAAAATTGATACGAAAATTCCACTTTTCTTGAAAATGTCAGCGCACCAGGTGCCATGATTTTAAAAAGATTAAACTATGATACATATAATGTTCTTTTTAAATTTGGTTAACTTTCTTGCTGTATTAAAAGTAGAAAATTACTGTAACACAATTACATGTAACACAATGACATGTTTTACCTCAATTTTGTCTCCGTTCTGTGGCGTGAATGGCTGCCACACTGGTTTCTCAATGACTCGTCCTGTTACACCCATGCCATTCAGTATGGTGATCTACACAACAATTGAAATCAAAGAAATAACAGGTTTTTAACAAAAGTTGTGGATTTGAAAGGTGTGCGTTTTTTATTGTTTATATAAGTTTATTTTGTCAATCTGTCCACAAAGGTCCACACACACACACCAAATGCTGGGACACAATAAAATAGCATGAACTCGGCAGAAAAAACTACTTTTCAGAATAATATCCCTAAAAATGTAACGTGTCGTGCAGGACGTAGAACTTTTTCCTCCCGACAATGAATTTGGGTAAAAAATCTCTGTGAGTTAATCAGTGGCAGATTCTCTTAACCTACTTGGAAACATTCAAAAAAAACATCTAAAGGAAGGTCAGATATTAGGATCTCTCAAGTAAAATTTTTATTGAACATGTTCAATAGAAAGAGTTTACAGATTTTAGCACAGCGCGTCGTACGGGACAGGCAAAACGTGTCATGCGGGACATCTGTGAATTATGTCATAATTTGTACTGAAACAGTGCTCTAATCAGTTCTTTCTTTTGAGGTAACAATGTCTGTAGTAGGTAACATCTAAATGACTGATTTTGTACAAGTCCAATCATTTTATGTTATCTTAGTAAAGCAGAAAAGTGCTTGTGTCTTGTGTGTCATACGGGATAAAGTCAGATTCTATAGAGATCATGCCTCCATCAAAATTGCTTGCTCACTGTCTGAAATTTAACACTTTCACTAATAATGGAAACAAATTACTGACAAATTTAAGAAAGGATCATCTTTCTGTCAATTGACTATAATTAATGCTTAAAGCAGAATAAACAATTACTGTACTCTAAAACAATGTCATATGTGGTGCTGAAGTCAACTCGTCGACCAAACAGTACTGCATATCATCGGATGATCAATACAGTGGCACAGTTTCAATTGACCTCGTAATTCCATCCTAACCCAAAGTCTCAACATATTGTCTTTCCTCTGGACCACTCTGGTATTTCCATTTCTGTAACTGGAGACTATTTGTGCATACATGCAATTCATCTTAAAGTGCATTGACACTATACAGACACAACAATTTGCATACAAAATATGAAGGAAGCTTTGTGTAGCCTCAAATTAACTCCATGAAATATTCTGTGTTCTTATTAAAGTCAGGATATCAATGCCCTACAATTATAAAGTGACAGTTGCTGTGCTCTGTAGTCCCAACTCCATCCCAAAACTGCCAAAGCAGGCTAGGGAATGTGATGGATTAAGGACAGTTAGTGTTTGCGGAGGATCAACAGTATTCTATTCTGCACGGCTAAAATTGGTGGTTTAGAGTGTTCACATATTTACCATTTCATGAGGGCAAAATAACATCAGAATATCTTAAGTTGTTTTGGTTGTTGATTGACACAAAACTTTTCATAGCTTGACTGACAGTCCAAGTACACCTGCATACAATCTGTTTTGAAATTGAACCTGCTTGAAAACATGGATTAACATTTCTTACTCCCTAGCAAAAGATGTTGATATAGAGTCTCCTTCCAGAGTTAAGACGTCAATTTAGCACTTCAGATAAGGGCTGTTGTTTCTTAAGAAAGCACGAGGCAGATGGAGCAGAGCGTTGGGTTCCCTGTCTCCATCTACTGGAGAATACTTGATACTCCACACCAAACAGTTAACGCAATGCCATGGAGGGATTAGGTTTCACGATGAACTTTTTCCTTTTTTTATAAAAATTCAATTTGCAGAGCCAGGGCAGCTGTCATTCATTGTAAGGGGTTAGCAACCTCCAGTATATGTGTGGGCTGTTATCAGCTTGTTTTGAACATGTTGGACATGTACACAGCGTATCAAATGTTAAATGGAGTGTCCTCGTCATGTTTACATGGTCTGTGTGGGGGCGGTATGATTCAAATGTACAATTGCAATGATATCATAGAACCAAGTACATGTACTCATTTTTAATTGTACTTTTTATGTTGAAACTCTCAAATTGTACATTTTTCGCAAAATGTACCGTACATAATTAAGAAAGTTTTGTTTCTTTCTGGACATGTTCCAGTTGGCACATGATTGGGGACTGGTGACTGCATTGGATCCGTGCAGGTACTGGTACTATAGAGGGCGCTATGCAACCTACATGTGCCCCAGCAAGCCAAGGTTCTTTTCCACAAAGCATGCCAAATCACTGCTTCCTGCCCAGCTTTGGCGTCTCCCTGGCCCAATAATCATCCAAACCAAACGCAAATACATGTGCACATAATGTTGGCCTCTGTAGAAATTAATGCTCCTTTAAAGGGAATGTACAACATTTGCTTTTGCTGCAATTTTCAGAAATCAATGGATTTGGAGGATCAGTATGTTATAGCAAATATTGTTAAACTGACTTGTTTCACGTTTTGGGCTTGTTTATACTGGAAAAACCAAGAAAACCAATCATTTTCTTGTGGTCTGGTTCCCCGACCCCACTTAAGATGAAACAGAGAAATTTAAAGACTTTGGGGAATTGTAAGGTCAAAGAATCACTCTAGCAGGTTTGTACCCCTTCACAGGTGTGTGATCAATTGCAAAAAAATGCGGAATAACTAAATATGAAAAAATAGGAGCAGTTTTTGAAAAAAGCCAGTTTTTTTCCAATGCTGGTCGGCCGACCAGCGTTGGAAAAATACAATTTTTCTTGAAAATGTCAGCACACCAGGAGCCACAATCCCTAACAATTCAGTAAGGTATTTCGTGATAATTTGATCATTTCATTTTTTGATGTTTGCAAATGTTGTATCTTCCCTTTAAAATTGTATAAAACTTAAAAGCACAATGTAGACCTACATGCACATCTATATTCAGATAATGTCTCCCAAATCAGTGGACTAAAATTTTGCAAAGGTTATCAGACACTAAAAGTAAATATATTCAAGTGATTTTTAACTCAAATCTATGCTTTGCGTCGAAAAACTGAAAAATTATTTTCACAGATTTCTCAAAAAGCGTTATATATGCTGTTTTAAAAAATTAATACGTTACTTCTTAAACACTTTTTGAATGTGTAACATGTGTCTTGCATCTTCATGCATGTATCAGCAATAAGACATGTACACGTATCAAAAACATAATGAACCAACTGCCAGGACTGGTTTTAATGAGAAAAAAAACATCAGTGAATTAATACTGCAGATAAGTACTCTTAATTATCATGTAATTTATACTATTTAAATTGTTTTTTTTAATGATTTTCTAAATTTATATCAAGTGATTTAAATCAAACAACCCTGCTGCCAGCTGACCCTGGCAAAGTAGTCGATTACTAAGACATCTACACAAGTTAGCAGAAGATGGATTCGTGACCCAAGCAATTAAGCTTGTAAAATTGTTCTCACAAGCTTTTAAAAACCAGTGGGCAAACAGTGCTATAAAATTACGTCAGTGAAGGTCAAAACCCCAAGTACAAGTACAACTCCAAAATGGGAAATTACTTCAAAGGTCAGAACTGGCTCTAGGGGTAAAGTTAAGATTGCCAGTCTTATTTGTAGTACTGATGCAAATCCGCAAACCCTCAAGTGTCATAACCAAGTCAATTTTTTACACGTCAAGTCAAGTCGCGAGTCAATCTTTTTCTAGTCCATCTGAACATGTTACGTCCCCAGAGGTTGCTTTATTTTCAACTTTGTTTCCAATAGTAACCAAAGGGTTGGCAAACTTGCTTCCTGCAACCTGATTCGATACAGCAATAGTAGGTAATGGATTTATAGTTGTAGGGTTCTGCAAAAAGAAGGAAACCCATTTTTGACAGCAATTTTCACCTACTTGTTGAGCATATTTCAAAAATTCAATTTAATGGTATTGAAATATTGATCGTTAAACACAATGACTTCATTTGACCCCTAGATGACCTTTGACCTCAAGTCATCTCAAGTCCCCCTACCCAAAGATTATTGTCACCAAGTTTGGTTGATATTGGAGACCGAGTTTTCATATGACAGCACTAAACAGTTAACCTAACCAAAATGGAACACTGACAGACAGAAGGAATACTCTATCGTAGATTCTTGGAGAAAGCCAGGGGAATAAAAATTCAATCCAATTCAATGATAGCATTGATAACTTTGGTTTTCACAGAAGCAACACACAGATTGGCGAAGCATGGGCATGATACTTACATTGACAATGGTAGGCATAGCTCCATGGTAGATAGGCTGTGTGCAGTAGGGCCAGAAATACGGACACTCGGTCAGATCAATGTAGTTGGGACTCAGGCTGAAAAAAAAAAAAACAATTCGCTTCTTCGTAAGATTTGATGTTGTAGTTTAGTTAACTTTTAATGAAACACCAGTGCCGAGGTGTGGATTCTGTGCACAATAGTCGATGATACTATGTGTGGGCACTTGTGGGCACTTGTGGTCTAGCGGTGGAGCACATGATTCATGATCGTGAGGTTGTGGGTTCGAGCCCCATCGTGGACATGCGTGTTGTGCCCTTGAGTAAGGCGCTTCACCTCAATTACCCCTCTCAACCCAGGTGTTAAAAGGGTACCGGCATTATTCAATGCTGGGAAGGTAACAGACTCGCTGTGGAGGAGGTGTGGCGATCCCCCCACAGCAGCATATGAGTCTGGCCCAATCGCTAACGAAAGAGAGATGGGCACTCCGTTCCTGTTAACACTTTGCCGAATTAAAAAACGAACTACTAATGGAAATTTCCAACAGTGCTTCTTAAGACGCACTTTTGGAAAGGCCTTCTTTTGTTGATTACTTCAAAATGACAGCTTGCCAGAAAGAATAATTTCACAGGGAGTTTAGTTCCCTTACTATCTTTCAACCAAGTATGTTTTTCAACAATAATTACGCCAGTTACTTTTTGGCTAGCTGCAAATGATGGACTCTGGCTTTAAGTGATGTGATCTGAGGTTTACAGAATGCATCCCAGCAATGGCGATCAAAACTGTAATTTCAACAAGGCGTTAGATATAAATAGAAACTGAATGAGATGCATACCTTGCCTGTGGGTTATAGGTACTGAGCACCTGGTAGGCCCTGACTAGGTCTAGTTTCCCATGTCCTTGCTCAAACATGTTAACGTCTGGTAGGCGCCTAGCTGAGGCCATGAGGGCTTGCTTCATACTGGCTGGGTTCAACATCTCCTGACGATCCCAGACAGAACTACAATGACAAACAACAGAATTCAACTTTTAGAAGTCGTCGTTGTTTTTTGATGTTGGCATCTGAATGTTAGCCCACAAGCATTCTGCAATTTCATGCAATAGTCAGAATCCAGCACTAAATGATCAGATCACAAGATTTAACACAGGACCGATACAATCATTTTCTCAGTTTCATTACGGCACAGAGATTGAACAGTCTACTGCTACAACTTAGACTCAGACTCAGGTTCAGTCCCTTTGTATACACTACATGTACATGGACACTTTTAACCCTAACTCCCTAGGCCTTTTGGCTAGGATGTAGCTTCAATCCTGCAAATTCCTCCATTGTTTCTTAAAAATGGTCCATGGAGGGGTGACCACTGCCTGAATCCTGCAAAATCCTGCGGCAGTGACTGTCAATATGTTGAGGCTTGGCCAGTGACATCCTGGAGAAGTACGGAGGAATTCAAGCATAATCCAGGCCTATGTTTATGCATGGCTGAGCAAAAACAACACAAGCTCCGGCCCAAGACCTTGACAAAGCGCATCCTACGAAATCAGTAACGCATCTTTGCCATGTAACCTCAATCCTCCAAATTCCTCCAATTTGCAAATAGGATTTTGGAAGATTCAGGGCGGTAAGGGTTAAAACAGACTTAACTTCTACCAACCTTGCCAATAATGCCACAGCACCTGCTACAACAGGGGAAGCAACAGACGTCCCTGAGAGAGTCCTACAGCCACCGCTTAGACTAGACCCACGCACAGTGGAACCATACGTCACAATGTCCGGCTTCAATCTGCCGTAGCCCATGGGTAGCTCCTGTGAGAAAGAAAATATCACGGATGCTTACAAACCACAGCACAATATCATGGTTCTAATAACCAATCTCAACTACAGTGGCACAACGCAGAGCCTGCCTTGCCGGCCACTGCTACAGAGTCAAAGAGCAAGTTGTCTCTGACCTCACCTGCTGGAGATTGCCTTGCCCCAACAGAGGGAGGAGACCCCTCAACTACGATGACTCTGTATGCAATGATGTGAGCCAGCACGTTGATGACATCACCACGGCCATGGCGGACAAGAGAGTCTGGAAGAGTTTGGTTGCATCCATCTCGGCTGCGGCCGCCCAATGATGATGATGATAACCACTGATCACCATTCTAAGCTACCGCAACTGCACTATCACAGAGATCGTGTGCTAACCCTATGGGCTCCGAGGCAAACAAGAGAGGGCGCTGTTTTACTGCTTTTGACAGCCCGTTGGGCGGGACGCACCGCGTGCGCGTACTGATCGTACACACGAGGCGCAACGTACACATGACTTCTTTTATTCTGAATATGCACAGAGCCACAGTGTCTTCGCGTTGAGCGTCAGGCGTCGGCAATGCGTTCAAATGTCTCTACCGGTGGTATGAACTTACCCAAGTTGTCATGCCTCGCGATGAAAACTTGGCGATGTTGTCTTCAAAGTTGATGCCTCCAACACCGATCACATCCATCTGATCAGCGGGATTGTTCAATGTCCTGAAGCAGATGTTAAACAGTTCACAGAGACTGAGAATAATCTAATGTGAAAGGTATCGTACACCATTTGCAATTTGTGAATTGTGTTCGTTTGAAGCAACAAAAGTGCTGACAATCTAGAGAAGGGTGCTTAACAACTAACCTGATGAATTTTTAGCTCAGTGAATGCTGTTTATTCCGAGAAAACAATATTCTAGGATCTCGATTTCAAATCAAAAGTTGCCGACTCATGTTTTGAATTGCATCCGAATTCAGCGTATGGGACACGTTCTCATCCAGCCGATTGCAGCCACGTGATGTCCCGCACTGAACCGTCGAATTATAGCAACCACGCGCACATGTCCTTCTTGTCAACGCTTGCGCACGCTTCGCCAAATTAAAAACGAACTACTAACCGAAGTTTCCAACGATGCACCTTAAGACGCATTGTTGGAAAGGCCTTTGTTCATTGTTTTCTTCAAAATGACAGCTTGCAAGAAAGAAAAAATTTCGCAGGGAGTCAGACCTTTTGTGTACACGCTGTTACTATTTCACAAAGACCGTGTCTTTGAAATTAACTTTGCTGTGCTTACTGCTTACAGTCTCCGTGAAAAAGACAGAGGCTCTTTTAGCAGAACATCAATATCTTTGCTGCATCAATTCAGCCAGGGTGGCCTTAAAACAAAGGAAACAGAGTACAGGAACTGCAATGAGTAATTTGCTGTCTGTATGTTCTTACCCATAGAGTGGTCCATCGTTTCCTATGGCTGACACCATGATCACTTTGTTGGCTGTTAACTCCCACACCTATGTGAACACAAATGTTAGAGAATCATCTGAAAATGCATTCAAGAAATGATGTTGTTTGTTGCAGTAGTTACATGTACATTAACCCATTAGTTCCTCTGTCATTGCATTTAATTGGTGATATTCTTTGAACGGATTGAGCAATTTCAGTTACTTTTTCATCTAAAAGTAGCTTATGAAATTGGCTTTCCGTCATTATTTTTGTTGCTACATATTTTTTTAAATATGAAATATATTTTTTGGGGTTTGGGTTCCGCTTTTTTTGACTCGCCCTGTAGATATCTCTCAAATGATGTCACTGACTACAGATTGTCACGTGCATCGGTGTTTTGGGAGTCAAATTTTTGTGACGCGCATGGAATGTGCTGTATTTCAAAGAAATTTTAAGCAACATGCGCACGTGTTTAGAACATTTTGCACACTGCGCACACATATATCTGATGGCGTGGAATACGCAGCTGTAATTTGCCTACGAAGATGTCTGTTTACGAGAGGGGTTGTAAACAATGTTTACAATATCATTTTACTTTACAAGTAAAAGTGCTAATGGATTAACTTAACAAAATAAACTACCTCTGGAATATATCTCCAGTATTTTCTAAACATTTTTGATGACCAGGTGAGAAAAATTTCAATGGAAGATTTGTCCTGGCAAGCGCAGTAGAAGATGCTATAAAAAGATGAATAAAATCCAGTCTTCGGAATCTCAGCAATTGGTCCAGGGAAATTCCAAGTATAACTCATGGGCATATATAGCACGCATGGTATGCTGGGAATGTCTCGGGTCCGAGTGAAAGAATTCCCTAAACTGGAATTGTTTCATCTTGTTGACCGTGCCATTTACTGCTGCAGGCTAGGGCTTTCGCTGCACTTGCTATGGACTGGCTACACATTCAGTTTTAGGCCAAGTTTTAGGCCAGAGTAAGATTCTGGTAGTAAGTATACAAGTAATGAGTATTTATGAGTGCAATGTTAAGAATACTTTCACGAGGTAACAGATGGAATACTCCATTCTACTTTGCTTTGCGTCATGTAATGGAACACTGCATATGACCTTATTTAACTATTCTTTCCATTGCACAAATGTGACCGGCTCTACAAAAAAAGGGAATTAAGTCGCCCTTAGCATTATTGTGTAATGGCCCGCTCAACAATGAGAAGGTGAAAATTTCGTCAAAATGTGATTTTCATTTTTTGTCATGAATGACATCTTTAATACCTACAGTTTCAGGTTTCACTCACAGAAATGTTGATTTTGATGAACAAAGTGTAAAAAACAACCATTTTGTGTGCATCGTTCTGTTGTTCTACAACAAAGCCAGCTATTTCAAAGCCTGTTTTCTCAGTTGTGTAATCTGAATTCAAAGGAAGTAATTAATATGCAAATACGTCATTTCTCCAGATTGGGAGGGGCTATGGAGCTCTATTACATACCAAATGAAAGCTTACATTGTGGGCTTTCCAACCATGTATATAACTCAATTCACTTTTTTGCGACATAATACCCTTTTTTTGTGGAACCGGTCACAAATATCAAACAATCATTTGTTTTATACAACGCCTGAATAAATGCCCTTCATCTGATTGTTAACTAGTGTGACCGTGAAATGGAACTTCTGACGGTGGACTGGGACTTCCTTTTTTGCAGTGCGGCTGGGCCACGGGTTGGGACAAATAATTCAATGACACGTGATTAACGACCCGCCAATCAGATGATGGGGATTTTTTCAGGCATTGTATAATACCTCTTAGAAACACTGCATCAATTTTTAGGCTAAATTTCATTTTGCAATTCATCATGTTCATAGTGCGATTGAGCTGTAATCAGCTGTAATCACTCACATGCCTTTCTATCACCAAATAATGTCCAACATTCAATTTGATATCGGGGTCAAAAGAACAAACTGAGATCTCGATTTGCCCTAACAAAATCAATATGGAAACCCACAACTATACCAAAAACTTCACAGACTTACCTTGTCAACAAAAGGATGGTCCATAAAGTCTGGTCCCCCGATACTGAGATTCAACACATTGATTTTCTTAAGGATGGCATAGTTGAAGGCGTCAAGGAACCAGGATGTGTAAGAAACCTTGGGAGTCAAAGTACATATACATGTTTATCAGCATTTAATAGTCCAGTACATTTTGTATATTTTAAAAATTCTGATAATTAGGGTTCATTACCCCTAACCCCTTGAGCATTTTACAAGAATCCGCCAAAAATCAGAATCCACCAGTGAGTCCATCAGAATCTACCAGTGTAGTACATATACCTCATACACACCAAACATAGCCAAAAAGTTAAACTGTTGAGAACCTGAATCCATCAAAATCCCCACAACTGCTCAATATGGAGGTATCCTGAATCCATCAAAATCCAGCAGGACCGCTAGGCTTACAATCCTGAATCCATCAAAATTCCCTAGTTTGTGCAAAATGGAGGTATCCTGAATCCACGAAATCCCCTGAAACAGGGAAGTGGATTTTGATGGATTCAGGTACGTTAGGGTCAATGACCATAAAATGTTGGCGATGTATTTCGATGAATACCAAACATCGATTTATTCTTTTCTCAGACAGCCAAGGATCTACTAACATGGAATCCCCTCCCCCATCCACCTTTGGCTGTGAGAAATAAAACAAAATTTAAAAACGCTCCTTTTAGGGTAGGTCATCAACTCAAAAGTATGCATAATGACATTTAATTAATTTAATTGGGTTTGGAGACACATGCTGTTACAAAACACTCAACTAAACCAACATACCTGGTTGTTTGTAAATACCCTAAAGATGAACAGGTTAGCATCGGGGGCAAAACCCTTACACTCAGAGGTGCTGCTGATCACCCCCGCCACAAAAGTGCCATGACCCAGTCCATCATGCAGTTTCTTCTCATTGGTCCAGTCAGTGCGCTCCTTCACATTCCGGAAATGGGGGTGTTTTTCCTTCAGGCCGGTATCAAAGACGGCAATGTTGACCCCAGCTCCTTCAGATCAGAAATGGATATATCATTTTTTTAATAGGCAACTAAATATTTCAAAATGTCTCATTAAAGACTCCGATAAAGATACTTAAAAATCGTATGCAGGCATATTGAAGGCAGTCTATGGCAAATTCTACTGAGCACAGCTATCGGCTCCGTGCGCCAACAAAAGAGGGCGCCCTTTTACCTAGCAACAACGTCCCATGGGCGGGACATTTAGCTGGTTGACGCACACCGTTCCTTGTGTGTGACACACGTACACCTGGGGATTTGTACTACATGTATGTACACGCAGTGGTACATGATACGGCCGCGCGTCATGGCAGTCAGGCAAGATGGCGTCGGTCGGTCACCCCCAACTGTGCTTTCTTTGCCGGTGAGGGGGTACTTGTGAACGGAGCGGACAGACAAGAGAAGTGGTGAGAACAAACATCGTGAGTGGCGTATTCCCTATTATCTGGTGAATTACCTGTGAACCCCAAATCCCAAAGCACATTAGCCTGCAGGATATCAGTAATCTCTCTTGGTAAGGCACGGAGTAACTTTCTGCCGGCATGGCGTCCTGTCTCCCAAAAGGATGAGCCCTATTTGAAATATAGCAAAGAAAAAGTCTTGAGAAAGAAAGCACGGTGGTGATTCATTTAATTAAAGAAGTGGCACAAGCCCCATGTACATGTACATGTATGAGAATTTGGTGTGGTTCTATGGAGAAGGGGTTAATTGAGTAAACTGGTTCTTTTTATAACTACAACAGACAAAAGAAGTATACATACATACTTACATGTACTTGGTGCTACTGCAAAAAAAGTTTCAAAAAGCCAATGACTACACTGCAGTGTTCTCCAACCTGTAAAAAAAAACCTGGTGCCCCGCCATACTTTCTGAGGCACCCGCTAAGCTTAAAAAGTTGCCGCCATGCTTCAAAAAAATTTATTAAAAAATAATACCAAAGACATAGAAGTGGGACCAGGGTATATTTTGGCCAGAAACTTTGCCAAAAGCAGTAACATGCAACACTTGTCAAAATGACAAGCCTGCCCATTGTAGCAATCCATCAGGTCAAAAGTCTCAAGGCCAAACTGCCTCAGAGTCCCTGGGCACTGATGTATTAAAAAAAATGATGCTGAGCCAGTACTTAACTGTTAGAGATGGCCTAAAAGCTGTTATCCATACGTAAATTACATGTTCATCTGCAAATAGCACCCCTAGCATACATTGTAAAGAAATGTACGTCTGCAAATAGCGCCCCTAGCATATAGCCCCCCCCCCCCTTCGCTTTTTGACAGAGCACTGACCTTTAATTTTCAAAGTTGGGGAACACTGCACTGTACATGTATATCATTCTGACAAATTACTCTTCTTTTCCAGAGAAATTCAACCCTCACATGTACTCAAGTACACCTTCAGAAGGTTGGTTTCTTAGCGATAGCTGACAAGATCCGAACATGAGAAAATGACCAGGTTCACTTTTCAAGAAATTAAGGTTGAAGAAAGAAATAGACCTGAGCCCAATTTCACGGCCCAGCCAAGCACAAAATTTTGCTTAGCACAAAAAAGTCTGGCTTATAAAAGAAGGTTACCAGCCAAAACTCCATGTGATGTATATTGCTGGTGATTGGTATTCAGCTGTTGTTTGCTATAGCATGAAAAACATGTGGAGTTTTGGCTGGTAAACTGCTTTTATAAGCCTGGCCTTTTTTGTGCTAAGCAAATTTTTTTGCTTAGCAAATTTTTTGGCTTAGCAGCGCCGTGAAATTGGGCCCTGGATTTAAATCTTACCAAGCCTAGACTGGCCCGTCTCATTGACCTGGAGGATTTCCATTTGGGAGCCCAACACAGAGGATCGACGGCACTATTGCACATATCTCCTTCATCTTCATCCTCATCTACATAGAAGGAAAAAACATCATTAGTTTCCTCTTCTTATGTCCTTGTCGAGAAGTTTCATAATGACGTTTGATCATCATTTGACTAAACACAAATGAAACACTATTTGACTGTGGTCTTCAACAAACTTGCACCAATACAACAAACCATACTCATGACAAAATGTCTTCCATGAAAAGCAATGATCACCTTGAAGCTGTTCATCCTCTGGCATTGACTTAATGGAGCGAGTAATCTGTCTCTGATGAGTAACCTGCTTAATAGACGGATGATGCTCTAAAGATGCTACACTGTCCTCTTCTCCTGCCGTTATCTGAAATTTAAAGTAGAAGTCCGTTCAGGTTTGGACTCTAGCAGTGCCCATGACTCCTGAGACATTTTTGTTTGGATTTTCCCTAAATCCTCCAATGTCTATCACTGTGAAAGAACCTAATTACACTTTATTAACATATTTTTCATCAAGAAAGGTAATATTAAGACTTAGTGGGATTATGTGGGCATTCGTGTACATGTTATGTTTGACCTTTCAACTCAAAATTTATTTATGATGGTACAAGAAATTATTTTTAACATAAACATACAAAGTACATGTTATTTTAAGTGAGAAACAGATTTTTCAAATTAGGTTTTGCCCTTCACCGACGTTTTTAAACACTGTATACTCAGTGTGTTACCTCCTGAGTGAAAGTTGGAAAAAATCACTCGGGTGGGACTCGAACCCACGACCTCCTGCTTTCTAGTGCAGATGTCTTACCACTCGACCACCGAGCTAACGGGATCGGTTGGCCGGTTCGATTGTTGAAAAGTCTACAACAGAACCTCAAATAAAATGTCACTTTACCCTGACAACTTCAAAGTCACTGGGATATTTGGCGGCAGGATTGGAGCGAGAAACAACATTCCAGGAGAATGGCGGACTGTTTCTGAGTGCTGCTGATATGTAATTCAGTCTTGTCTGCTCAAAGTAATACCTCTTGAAAACCACAATATATTCTGTAAAGAAGAAGATACAAAAATGTATTGTACATTATAATAATTTATCTTCAAGCAAACTTGACGCACAATAAAGATGAAACGCACGCTGTACACAAACTTCAGCACTTATCCTATTACACATGCGTGTTTGTACGGAATGGCGCGCGCATCTTGGAATAGCGCAACACGCAGAGTGCGGTATGGACCGTGGCGGTGTTACATGGTTATATGTAGCACGGCTTGTTGCCATGGATCGACCAATCAGAATCGAGGATACAAGTTAACTTGAAGATAAATAAATGTATCCATTCTGCTTTATTTGTGGTTTTTTTTTTCATTGTTCACTTGTTTGTTTTCTCTCTTTTTTTGGGGGGGGGGAGAGGGGGATGTTTTTGTCTATTTGTCTTGCTGACAGGTTGTGTGCCCTTTATTGCTCAATGCATAGGATGGCTGTCCATCTGCTTATTTAACTGTCACTGATAATCACCATTCAGTGCTTGCAACATTAACATATTCTGGCAAACTCTGCATTAAAGGGAATGTACATCATTTGCTTTTGCTGTAATTTTCAGAAATGGATGGAATTGGGGGTTGGAAATATATAGCAAATATAGTTACACTGACTTTTTTGAGGTTTTGGGTTCGAAAATGCTATAAAAACCAAGAAAAACAATCATTTTCCTGTAGTCTGGTTCCCTGACTCCATATAAGAAGAAACAGAGCAGTTTACATACATTGGGGAATTGTAAGGTCAGGGAACCAGTCTAGCTGGCTTGTACCTGTTCATAGGTGTGTAATCGATTGCAAACAAGTGCGATGGTCAATTGGGGCCAGTATTTGAAAAAAGCCAGTTTTTTCCAGGCCAACAAGCGTTGGAAATTGATACAAAAATACCACTTTTCTTGAAAATGACAGTATACCAGGTGCCATGATTTTACAGGATGCTTTACACTGTCATTCACCAACAGTCCAGCAACTTGGTATTTCAAAATGATTTGGTAGTTTTATTTTTTGATGTTTGCAAATGTTGTATTTTCCCTTTAACATTGTAACTACGATCTTCCTTAGCTACTGCCTGAATGCTAACAAACATGTACCCATTGCAGTAGAATGTTTCTGCTGTTGTTAATAGCAGAGCCTCTTCACTTTACACTAAGCTGTGCAGCAACATTGGGTCTATCTTTACATCATTTAGAAGTACTTACCATTACTAACAGACTGGGTGGTAAAATCAATCTGAACATCAGGAGCTACGTCTGTCTCATTGAAGATGTCACACGGAGATGGCAATTGTTCCTCTGCTGAATACTCGTGACTGGTCAGTGTTTGCTTTGTAAGCGTCCCTTGAGGGCATAATATGAGCACTAACCACAGGTGGCATACAGGTACTATACACAGCCAGCCTTTCATGTTGAGGCTAGGCTGGCACTGAGTGATCCCAGATGTTCAGAGAAATACTTAGAACACTTTGGTCAGCTGATCATGGTGACGGAAACGGCAAAAGAGCAAGTTTTTTTTCAGACTGTAGACAGTCTGAGGATAGAAAGAGTAGTTTGAGTACCACACGTCCCAGGAAGTTAAAGGTTTCTGTTCAGATGGGCCAGCAAGCTGTTCCCTTGTCTGCTATACTTCTACCTCAAGCATTGTCACTGTGGCAGGAGAACTGCAAATAAAACATACAATTATCAATTCATACATGTACAACATAAATATTCATGATCCAGCAACAGTGCAACAGCTGAACCTCATGGCAGACATACATGGATACAGTGTAAGAATAGGAAGACATTAATTGGATGCAATGAACCATAACACGTGTACAGGCAATGCTAGGCAACCACAGGGGAGGATCCAGGAATTTTCGCAGGGTGGGGGGGATGTTTCATCAGCAAAAAAATCCGAAAATGTTCAGTTTTTTTTCTCCGGACACTTGGCCTCCGTAAATTCAAAAACTGAGGTGGGGGGGGGGGGGAGGGGGGGCTGGTACCATATTTCAATAGGGGCGCTGTTCAAATTCAACGATTATTAACACTAGATTACAGAATGGTGTACCGTATTTTGAACAGGTGGACATTATACCAGTATAATTTTTTTGGGGGTGTCAGAGCAGGGGGGGGGGGGGTTCGCATTATTTTTTAGAAATCTGTATGATAATATTTTTTTTTTTGACAGAGCTGGGGGGGGGGGGGTTTGACCCCCAAAATCCTCCCCCTGGATCCGCGCCTGGCAATGAGAAGGTTTGCTGAGAGACCATGACCTCAACACCATAGCCAACACCATTGCCAACACCAGGTGGACACATGAGTTGCAGGGTATTCTGCCATTTTGCCAGTCCCAACTTTGGCATCTGAACGATTACTGAGGATCACTGAATACAGGTCAGATGAAAATGTGGCTTCAAATTCTTCTTTCCTTGGTGGAAAGAATGTACACTGTACATGTAGGTTCAGGTTAATTGAACACCATAGAATCAACCTTGTTGGATGTGGCGTAAGTTTACAAAAATCTTATCATTTATCAAATTTAAAAATATTTTAAGTCATTCTCAGTACTAGCCAAAAAGTAAATACTTCTTTTACATTGCTAGTAAAAGGGTGAGTGTACTTCTAAAGCGTAAATAAACTACAAATAAAGTCTGAATGTGGAAAAAAAATAATTACAAAGTCCCCCTGGCATAGCCGGCCATGGTCTATGATATAAGCAGATTCGGCGATTAATTATGCAACTAGACTGCGTATGAGTATGACCTCAAGAAACTGACCAATCAGCATAATGCAAGCTCCCCGCGTGCGTAGACATCACGCCCACAATGAGTAGCATATATTTGTACAGGTTGTTGTATTTCAAAAACGTGGCACCGAAATTGACCAAGTCCAGATTTCGGAATGAGATGATGTCACTCATGCTCAGATATATCAGACGTTCTACCGGAGATGGATCGTTAGTCGCTAAGAGTTTGCTCCCGTACCAGTTGACCTGTCTTTGGTTCAAATCCATTTTTCTTTTGGTTTGCAGATTCCGACAATGACAGAATCCAAGATTGTATTCAAATGTTTCTTTAGTTTTTACAAAACCACATCAAAAACAAATTTGTGGAAAATATATTTGCAAAAAATTTATAGCCTCCTTCCTAGCCTACCTACCCACTAAAAGTACTAGCCGCACACGATTCTACGTGCAGGTACCCAGACGATGTCAACATTGTACGAACCTGACCTTATGATATTGTCAAGGGACCCGCCTTTTTAAAACAGAAAAACAGGCTACCGTCATCGACCGTGTTTCTTTTTTTATAGTGGATATATTGCCGGCGGCAATCCCTATCAACAGAGGGTGCTGTACTCTCTAAGATAGGGCTGAATTATAAGATATATAAAATTACCACCAACGGTTGTGTAGCACCTGTGGCCTAGTGGATAAGCACCGGATGTCATGAGTGGAAAGATCCGGGTTCGATCCCCGCTGGCGAAATTTTTAAGGTTTTTATTCCCCATCCCCCAAAATAAGAATATTCTTCTTTTATTATATTAACATGGTCTCAAACATTTTATTGCAGAGTGTTACATTTTCCTTTTCAGATTTGTGGCTCTGGAGGATTTTTTTTAAAGGGAAAAAAAGTCCGAAATTGTAAAATGGTCTGATTCCCATCTTGTGAATACACCGTTACAACGATAAAGTTGGCATGGAGCCAGACTAAAATTTGTCACTTTAGGCTAAATAGTAAATATCACTGCCTTCTTTTTTAGTTTTGTGGTCTATCCAATCGAATTCACGAGGATGCATTGCCTCTCCATTATCCCTTGGCTTACATAATAACAGTTAACACCCCTTGTTAAATGCTAAATCTGAAATTACACAACAGATTTCTTTGGAAAACTGGAAAACAGAAAAACTATCCACCTTTAATTCTCTGGCCTTGTCGATGTTGATCCGATCCATGATCGCAAAATCTGACCTCAATTGACCTTATAGTTCTAATGCAGTACAGTGCATGCATTACGTAGCTGGATCCCGCGCTATGTGCTTACATACACATTGCATGCACTGGTTATCCGTTCGACTCGAGTGTTTACCAGTTCGACTCGAACCAACTCGACCGTTTGCCAAAGGCTACTTGATAACTGAAAAATTCAACTCAATTTCATCCAAATTGAACGGAACTACAAGCTCACAGTCATGTGTCCAAATCCTCCAATCGTCGTAATGTCATTGTACATGTATACACAAATAAACAAGGAAGTAGTTCTGAACAGAACAGCGTATTCGACCGATCTAAATAAAAAAATTAAAACTCGACCCCTCCCCCACTTCCCGCATTAAAAAACACTATTTTTGGTGATTTGAAAATGAGGTTTTTTTTCTCGAATTCACATTAAACAAAGGGTTTGGAGAGTGATTGTAGATGATTAATTTCTAAACAAAACTGAATGGGCCGGGCACTACAATAATTTTTTTTGGGGGGGGGGAATTGGCGGGAAAAGCCTATAAAAGTTGCCAATATCAGCTCTATAGGTTTGTTAAATGACAAGATTTAGAGCTGAGGTAACTCCAGCTAAATGCCATGTAGTTATAATTTGTTTTAAATTAGTAGTTTTCGTTACTGCGGTAGAATATTTAGAATCTAATTGGCGGCACAATTTCCTTTTAACATAAAACGCAAAATAATACAACTTCCTCCAGTCTGCATGGTTACAATAATTATGCACCGCGAGATTAGTGATTAGGCTCATTCAACTGTCACTTGTTGCTGTTGATTCCTTCCCGGCTGCACCGTCAGGCTGAGATTAGTGAGAATAATTATAAGGTTATTCTGCATTGTGTTTCACACAGGACATTATATTAAGATATGTTCCTCGATATGCTTTAAGATATGCTAATCTCGAGTTTCACTTCTTTTCCAATTGCTCATTTTCTTAGGGGTGCATGCATACAGGTCTATGTTCTCCAATACATATTATGTTCCCCAAATACCGATGAACCCTACCCTTTAAGGATTTCGGGGAACATCGGTATTGGGGAATATCGGGTAGACCCCTTTTCTTAGCAATAGCAATTTTAAAGTTATTCACTTTTGAATGAGACACAATTAAGCGAACACAATGATAAAACGACATTTGTTATTGAATTTTTTCTTCACAATTAGCTGCCAGACAATAATTCGGCTCTGCGGGTTCGATCCCCTTTTTCAGAGAGTTGCAGACGCTCAAATTCGGAATAAGGTATTTTTACCCGTTATTAATAAAACATACTCGATTGAAAATTTGTGACGTGAAAAAAATATCCACTTTTATTCATAGCACGTGATATATTCAACTTTAAAATCGGTTAAGACCCCACCACCGTGACCACCTCTCCTCTGCAGAAAGGCTATATAGCGGCCGCAATTTCGATAGATTGTACGAAACAAAAATCCCCAGAAATTAATTTAAAAAAATAATGAAAGTAAAAAAAAAATATAGCACTGAAACACCCCAAATCCCAATTTCAACACAGACATTTGCTCAAGATCAGATCCTTAAGAATTAACAAGAAACTATTTCGAAGATTTTCCACGAACTTAAACTTTATGAATCACAGGAACTGAAAAGGGGGCTAGGACTAAAATATTTTTTTATAAGTTGTTGAAAAAAAAAACATAAATAGAAATTTCCACTTTTTACGGGTTTCAGGTTTTAGCCGGCGCTGCACTCACAATTTCCTTACGGTCTTCATCAGGTGGATATGTAAATGGACCAGTTGAAGTCCCCTTTAATTCGTCCTAACAACCTCCTGTACAATAATAATGCACGTGATCCGTGATTACAAGTTTAGTTCAAGTCCAAGCATGTTCGATGAAATGACGTGAATGCAGTCCATGATTAAAGTTCATGCAACGCACCCCCCCCCCCCCCCCCCCCCCCCCCCGCCATTGAGTCCAACAAATATTGGGACGTGTCATGTATGTTGTGAAAGCCATTTAGCTAATGAAAGAATGCAACTTCGCATGTTGATACAGATGATTGAAATATCTTCTGTTGGGTTTGTTTCCCTACGGTTTTAGAGCAAATATTTTTCACAAGCTAGCTGAACCTTTCGGAATTTCAACCTAGTGCCATCCGGCATGTCCGGCCGATCACGCCGCGCCGCCGCATGATGAGCTCCAAATATCAGTGCCTGGTACCCCGGCGCATTGAGCAATACACGTCAGTATAAACGTGTGCTAACAATGGAAACTATATTGATGTCGCGTACCAGCGTTGAAACTACGTGAACGCTGTTTGTTTCTGTAAACATTTTATCAGAAAAATGTCTGTCTCTTGTCTCTAAAATGACGCACTATTTGTTACAAGTCTGCAGTATCGTCAAAAACATGTCTGGTTCGATGTTTTCCATCCAGCATGTCTAGACTAGAGAAAGATTTGGCGCTTTGCCACTGAATCGGGAACACCCCCGCATTTTTACCGTGTATGCAGCAATACGACAATCTACACGTTCATCTGCCGGGCAAGTTTGAACATGTCCACTGTAGACTTGTTGGAACACGGTAAATATCATTACGGTCTTCGACCTAGTGCATTTTATTGTGGCATGTGCATATCATAGGTACTAGTAACAGACAGATCTATGGATCGGGAGTACTTGCTCATGTACGGTAACATCATTTGCAGAATATTTTGGACAAGATGGAAAGTGAACATGGTGAAACACCAGTCTCAAAAAAACGGCGGCGGTCTAAACATTGCCATCATTCTGGAGATCAAAAACGGTCCTCCAGTTCCCATAGTTCCTCGGTAGAGGTCACAACTGCTACCTGTAGGCCAACCATTATTGCCACAGCAACATCAGTCTCATCCTCCAAAGCACCATCCCGTGAGGAGGCGGCAATCGCCATGGCGACTGTTCTTGCCAGTGAGCTTCGGCCTGAGCATAAACTCCCAAGCCGAGATATTCTGGTGCAGCCACAGCCCAACTTCATGGAGCTGCTTCGAACAGTTGGGGCTCAAGGACCTGTGTTTACAGCCAGGCAAGTGTTGTGTTATCTGATTAAATATATCAGCAGTCGCCAACTCTATGTCCAACAAGACCCCAAAAGAGTTTACTGTGAGAAAGATCCATTGGGTGCAGTCTTTGGTGTTCCAACATTCACCATAAAAGATGCAAGGAAACTCCTGTTTGAGAACATGTCGGTGTTGAGAGAGTCTCCAGACTTTCAATCACAACACAATGATGCATTTCAGAGACAGCAACGCAAGCTGTATTACACGTTTCATCAAGCTCAACAAACAACAGATGTTACCAGACCAACGCCAGTACCGACACGTTCAGCCACCGCCCCCTCACCCCACTCTTTGCCTTCGGCATCACACAGGCTCAATCAAGTGGACAGCATTAATAAGCCTTCCTCGTCAGTGAAAAGGACTGGTGGAGGTGGCAAGTTCACTGAATCATCTGTTTTCAGGGGAGAAGATCTGCCAGACAGTGCACACATAAGTAGGCCACGGCAGCCGATTCATGACTACACAGTATCAGTCACCTCTGCTCCAAAAGGATTACCAGTCGCATCAGAGTTCAACATGCCCAGCAGTACAACAATGCCACTGAGTGATGAAGTGACCTGTGCCATTAACCCCACCAGTGCCCTCAGACAACATAACCAGGCTCCCCCTGTAGCACCAAAACTACTTGCAGGCAAGGAGTCCATGTCTAAGAGATCGCCAGCTTCATGCACTGTCACAACATCACTGAGCAGCATGAGCATTGTTGCTGAGACTAAACGCATGCCTGACTTGCCAACTCAATCAACAGCAGTTGCCCCGGGAATCTCAATGTTGCGACCACCATTCAGCTGTGGGCGCAAGAGAAAACAGAGTCGGTTAACCTCAGATTCATCCGAAGATTGCGTTCGCATCACAAGTCATCAGAACTCAGAGAGTGACAAAGTAGCAAACCGACCTTGGTACTGCATGCTGTATCATCCCAGCGAAGAGTTGAAGTCGCAGGGCAGTGAAGTGCTTAGTATTCAGGATTGCGAAACAGCAATTGTTGCTGATTCATCGGATGATCTCTGGTTTGTCGACGAGGACGAGGGGACACCAGTGGAGTACGAAGTACCATCTGATTCCAGTGACGATTACACCATCAATAAAGGGAGCTCAGACGATAGCAGCAGTGGCACTGAAATGGTGTATGATGTTCTCTTGCAAAGGGAAGACAGTGGGGATTCGCACTTTGCTGACAACAGTGATGAAGACACCACCGATACCGAGATTTCTGACTTGGACAAATGGGAGTGTATGGAATGCAGCATGCGCAACTCTCCATTTAAACGTTACTGCAGCCGTTGTTGGGCTCTGCGTAAAGGCTGGTTGCCTGACAGCCAGAGAATGACCCTGAAGGAGAGATTGCAAAATTCCAACCGATCCCTTCGGAGATCATTCTCAGCCCCCGCTGGAAACATCAACCCACCGTCTCCTTGGTGCCCTGCACCCACTCCGTGCACCCCTGTTAATTTGGCAACTGGTGCCCTCCAAAGTGAAATTACACCCTCGACAGTGCAGGAATCACATAACATCAATCCAATTGTCACAGAGCTCAGCCCAAATCTGCCTGGAATTTCACGTGATGTTGCTGATGGATTGACCTTTGATCTAAGAAAAGACATCCCAGATGGGAATGTTGGCAGTGATGAGGATGAGGCAGGCACCGGGATCAGCAGTTCTGGAGAACAGAAACTCAAGCGAACCATCAGTGATGAGTATGGAGAAAACTCGCAAGATACTGTTGTCATTGCACAGGATTCACATGGACACTCGACAGAATCGGACTCACAGACTGAAGCAGAGAAGTCACAGAGTACTCAACAAGGCATCCAGCGAAGGGAAGACTCTGGAATTGGTTTGACTCAAGAGAGCTCCATTACAAATGATCTCAGCACATCATCGAAGATACCAACATTGCCCACTGTAACTCCGCTGAAAAGCCAAGTACAGAATGCACCAGGCTACCCACCTAGAAAGAGACAGCGATCAGCGTCTGGCTCCGACCTCCCGGAGCAAAGTGGACCCTCCTTCAGTGTACTAAAATCATTGAAGTGTAGCAACTCTACCATTCGGCAAGTGGGGATGGGAGTGCTGTCGCATTCTTTACCAACTGGAAAAAGTGATCCTGGGGCGGGCCCCTCATCTGCTCAGGCAAATGTTGTAACAAAACACTATAATGACTTGTGCATCATTTGCTACAGTCGGCCCAAAACTGCGAGTATCATTCATGGCCGCACCGGTCACCAAGTCTGCTGCTATCCGTGTGCAAAAAAGCTACATCATCGTGGGAAACCATGTCCTGTTTGTCGCAGATCCATACAGGCCGTCATCAAGAATTTCTTACTTTAGTTGCATCAAGTACATTTTAAACGATGTTATGCAATATGTGTCCGAACACATACCACTAATGTATAAATTTTCAGAGTGAAACACTTTATGCAATATATATTTTATAGGTCCCATGTTAGTTCCCAAATTGTTACCAACTAGTTACATGCATGCAAAACAAAACAGTTTCAAAAAGTCATGTTACTAATACTCTCATGTAACTTATTATAATAATTTAAAAAAAAGAGACTTGCTAGTTTAATACATTGAAGTCAAAATGTTTGACAATGCAAATTCTAATGTTACCATCATTGCACTGTGGTTAGTGTTGGGCAGTATATACACAAATGCTTAGTGGTCATTTCCCACAAAATTATTGCATTTTGTAATTTATAGTGGATTTGCAATGAACCTATTTTTTTAAATGGCTTGTCTAGATTTTAGTTCAACTTGGAATTCAAAAGTCAGTATCTGAAATTGTTTTGTTCGTACTTGATATGGATGTGCATAGCAAGGATAGCCTTGGAAAAAAATTGTGAGGCGGGGCTTGGGGGGGGGGGGGCATTGTACATCATTTGCACTTAGGCCAAACAGAAAAATGGTGTGTACAGATAACCTGACTTACCTGGAATTTTTGCGGCCAAATTGCCAACCTCGGACATTTTATTGCCATTATGCTAGTTGAGAATTTTAAATGAGCATTATTTGGAATTATTTTCAACGAGTTTTTTTCAGGCCGTTACCATAAACACACTATTTTGTTTGGCCTTGGGGGGGGGGGGGGGCTGATCAAGAAAAACTTAATGATGCATACATGTATGTAATTTGTCTTGGGCCCCGACGTCAGTGATCGATAGTGATTTTAGTTATTGTTGTAGAGTGCCCACACGCAACTGTGTTTTACTTTCTCTCACTAACGTCTTGGTGATTTCGCAGGAACAGGGGTGTGGCCGTTGTATGTAAATTAGACCATCGGTGTAAATATTCCTATCGTAAAAGAAAATGGCTTCCTATTTGATACCAGTAGTCACGCAGGGGTATCACTGAGTTGCATATCTAATTAGTGATGCTTGATCGCCACACTTTGAATTTTCGCATGTAGCGCGTATATTTACAACCGTCGCGCGATGCGCGCAACTAACTATAAACCATTTCATAATGGCTGATTGGTTCCCTAGGAAAGCCTAGGGAGGAAAATAAAGTAAAAGTTAAACCACTACTACGAGATTACCAAGACGTTTAGTGTGAGCCGGCGCACTGGTCTAATTATTGTATCGTTTGAGGATGCACTATGCACGATCCGCTGTCCATCACTAGCATCTTGGGCTAAGACTAACATGTAATGTGTACACTGCTACATTTTAGGACAAACTGGCTTGTTTCTATTTTCTGTAAATTGTATGTACTCTGCTATGGTGCTCTGTGGCAAATCCAGGAGAGCTACAATAAGAAAGGACATTGTGCACTGGTTCATTGATGTGCGTTTTACAGCAAAAGGAATCTGAGAATTGTTGGGCACTTGTTGCTTTGAATAGGCTCCATCAACATTAAGCCAGTTCGGTTTTTCAGTGACCAGAGGTCATTCGTGATAACATCGCTGACGTGATGTTACGCGCACGCCCATTCTGCTGGTAAATTACACGCAAGCGTCGAGCGCCCGTGTTCATGCACCTTCAAAATGTTCGATAATTGTGACCATATCATTGTGCACATGCACAGTTGAAATACTGAACTGGCTTGTTGTAGATAGTTTGCACAACATTTGAGAGAATTTATACAACATCAACTAGTCCCTCGCATTGCCATGTGAACAATCATTACCAAATGAATAGCTCTTCAGAATTGTGCCTGCGGGACATGGAGAGCCAATTTATTGGCTCATACGTGTAGATGATGCACATAGTTTTAATTGTGGCAATTACTAGTTGAAGTCAATCAGTTTGGTACTCAGAGAGATAACTTTATGCTTGGAAATCTTGAACTGTTCGTAAAATGTACTTGCTGATTATCTACATGTATATATACAGTCGACTCTCGTTAGTACAAACTCTGTTAATACAAATTCTAGTTATAACAAACACAAAGCCTTGCTCCGGACTGTGCATGTATGTGCGCAATGAATGGGACTGATGTTCCCTTAATACACAATTCTGATATAACAAACAATTTAGCTTGGTCCGAATGAGTTTGTATTAACGATAGTCGACTGTATATACATGTACATGCATGTCCAGGTAAAGAAAGGAGAACGTTTTTGGAGAATTATTTTGTTTTAATCTTATAGCTGTGATTGTGCTGTGGTAATGCAAACACCCTGATCAAGAGATGGATATGAGATGTTCCCTTTGAATACGTATGCCTGTTACACAGTGATAAGTAGGTTAAAAACATCAGGTATTTTCCATACTATGATACATTTACATTTGTGAAAGCCATGTATCACTATTGGTAAAATGAGTTGAAAGAGGTGGTGTTCAGATAAATTATTCTGATTAAATGATGTCTCTTTTGAAAAAAGGATCAATTTCACTACATGTCTTGTTAAATCAAACCTTTAATCGTTCACATAAATCTGATAAGAGTTAGGCTAGAAGGTTGAGTGTAATGACTTATGAGTTCATAATGTAACATTTTTAAAACCGAAATAGATTTTACAAAGTTTGGAATTTATGCAGTGTGTTACGAAAAATCTAATTGGACATTTCACTTTTTCTCTTAGGAATATAAATGAAGTGAAAGTCATGAGTCAGTCACCAACAGAAATGTAACATTCGTGGACATTTTTATCATTGAAAAGATGTATTTGCTATTATTTTACAAAATGTCATCATGGTTTACACATATACATTTTCACTTCAATATGTACATTTTGAAAATTTATTTATTTTACCTTAATTCATACAGTAGTTTAATATTTATTTAAATCTGAAGTGTTATATATAAATGAAAGGTTGTATGATACTTGTAAGCGTATACGAAAGACTTACATGTGAATAACATGGGAGATTGCTGTAGAAGATATTCTTGAGCTTGGGAGGGCACTTGCATCACCAAATTTGAAATGGTTTCTTAATTATATTTGTTGAATGTTAAAGGCAGATGAGATTTTGAAGCTTTGATGATAGTGTCAATAGAAAAGTGTGTGACAGTTTACATGTGATTATGTATTTGTAGTGAATGGAGGATTCACAATTTGTTTTCGATGTTGAAGAAGTACTGCAAATGTCGACAATATTTATCTTCAACTGCTTGGCATGTTAATCTGTTAATTTAAAGTGAAAAGATGTTCCTTTGGAGACAGAAGATGAGCAGCAGTAATGACATTTAGATTTATAAATATTGGACAAATGAATATTGAATATTGGATCAATTGGATCGATGTTGTTATTGGCTGGTTTCAAATGAGAGAGAGGCCTTGGTAGGTTTATTTTTTTCTACTATGTATGAGTGCAAGAATATTCTTTATATCATTTATCGCTGACAACCCTACCTTTTTTGTATGTAAATATTTGATCGCTTCATCGAAACTGATAAGGCTTTGATTTCCAGTGGTAATATGGTAAGGCTCGGTGTAGCTTGAAGTGCAGTGATGCTGTACATGTACAATGTACAAATCAGCACCTGTAAAGCTGTGGTGTAGAGTTTACAATGCCATGAAATATGAATGTCCGTCTACCTTGCAATCTTAGAACAAAGGAAACATTGAACACCGTATATCCCAGGTGATTTGTGGAACTACCACTAAGATATATTTCTTTAACCACAGAGATGGTTTCTAATGTGTTTTTTTCAGATACAGACTTTGTCATTGTGGTAAAAGGGTAGTTAGAACTTAGAACCCTGTGCGTGAAAGGGAAAATTGTTTCACAATCAAACCATAGAGCAAGGGGAAACAGCTTGTCAGGAAAGTTGGTGTGTTTGTTGTGTCATGACAGTTGTGTTGTGTTGATTTAAAGTGTTAAACACGTCCTTCATTATTGGTTTCATTTTTGCATATCAATTGTGAATGGTTGATGCATTACATGTATGTACACACAAGTATTAACTGCATTCCAAAGTGTAAAGTGTGCAATTTGTGTACATACTTTTCGTGTGGCTGGTCATGTGATAGAGTGAAGTTCAGCGTGGAGTGATAATTGAAATTAAATATTTAATGAAGAAAAGAGAGTGGCTGACTAGTAAATTGAAGGATGCACCAGGAAACAATGCTGAGAATTATTAAATAAAGTAAAACAATAAACAAATAAATAAATGAAATTAATATCCAGATCTGTCCAAGGTCACGTACATAAATATCCAGTTCTCTCGTTTGGGAATAGGGCATCAAGATAGGGCTTCTAAAACACACTAGGGCTTGTATTCTTTTCATTTGAATCTTCATAGCCTGTACCAGTATGTATTGGAGGCTGCGGTACACCAACAATGGACCGATCCAGTAAGCTCCGCCCAGTGCGCACATGGGCAAATCAACACGTGCTCCTCTCCAATGATGCCACGCTGCATTTTCCTTCCGCGTGCATCATACGCGCGTGACGCGCACGCATGTCGGACATAAATCACGGCTGTAATTGGTCAGAACACCATGGGGCGGTGCTTACCGGATCGGTCCATTTCAAACATCAATGCAAATAGGAAGTTGTGTGCCTGACCATGTTGTGAGGAATCGCTTTGTTTGCCTAGATTTGCTGAGTTTCCTTATTCAGAATGATATAAATTGTTACACCTGTGTTCGTTCACAACCTTTATAAAAGCACTCTTTCTTGCAGCTGATAAGTATGTGTCTTTGGTTTCTTGTAAACTATTGACGACATTTTGCACGTTTGACTTGGGAGGCCTTTCCCATGTCACAAAATCATGTTTTTAGTTCACTGTCAGCGGTTAAAAGTAGGAGAGGAATGCTGAGCAGTGCAAAATGGTTCAAAAACAGCTCCATGTATGAAAATGATTACAGAAACTCTAGTCTTTTCAAATAAAGAGAATCAAATGAAAACTGAGAAAGTTGCTTTTCTGGACAATGTTCCTTTCAGTTATTTTTGGTCATTATTCCTTGCACTTCAGTCATCAGCAAAAAAATCTGAAAATGTACACAGGTTTTTTTCTCCGGACACTTGGCCTTCGTAAAAGAAAAAAACTGGGGGTGCTGTTCAAATTCGATGATTATTAAAACTGGATTACAGAATGGTGTACTGTATTTTGAACAGGCGGACATTATACCAGTATACAATTTTTGGGGGTGTCACAGCAGGGGGGGGGGGGGGTTGTATTATTATTGAGGAGTTTATATGATAATTTCTTTTTTGACAGAGCTGGGTGGGGGGGGGGGGTCCCCTGGATCCGCGCCTGACCAGTATGTAACATTTGAAGCAAATAAGCATTTTGGTGTCTAATGAGAATAAGAAACGGGCCTCTAGCAATTTAACGTTAAAAACAAGGAAAGTGGAAGCTGAACAGCGTTTAAGGGGAAGTTTCCACAATAAATTGATGCTACATGTACATGTGTTCATATTAAGTAGCAAAATATATTTTCTAGATAAAAAGGGTAAACGTACATGTTCATTAGACCCCTGTTCCAGCAGTAGCACAATTAGAAAATTAAATCATTTTTTCTTATTGGGTAAATGATAAAATTGCTAAAAAGCTTATTTTGAAATATTTGTAGGGATAATGTCAAATTGCCTTTATTGCTGTCATTTAAATAGCATTATGAGAAACCACTGGACTTGTGAGAGGAATTAAGATTGAAAAGGGAAACATCGCCCTCTTGTGATTAGTCATTGCATGGGAAACCAAGGGAAACCACTGGACTTGTGAGACGAATTGGGGTTGAAAGGGGAAACATCGCCCTCTTGTGATTAGTCATATTCAGCTAAAAATCGCATGTACGGCCGCCGTAATAATTGTAGCCACTGCGTTAATAAAAAAAATAATAGAAAAGTACAGTAACAAAAAACTACACCCAGCATTCAGTAACTGGGGCGCTGGAACTCTATTTTTTTCCTCGAAAATTTCGGCCGGGGCCTATTTTCGCTCGTACCCACCGCGCTGGGAAGGGCTGATGCAATCTCGTCCCTCTATTTAAAGCCCAATTTACAGACACCTCGTTTTGTCCCCATTTTTGTTTTCTGGGCTAAATATCACAATGTTATCACTGTTCACATGATTTTCCATAAAAGTTTAATAGGGTAACTGTGCCACTAAGCAACTTGGTGAATTTGAAGCTCATCAATATTGAGGTTTGGCAAGACTACGTGATGAAATGCGCGCAACTTTTTAGGGGTGTGTCCTGACTGGGGGTGTGTCCTGACGTCACTCAATTCATTCATAATAATACTGTTAGTAAACATTACGCATTCGCCACACACCATATTAGGGGCCCAGACTCCACTGACAATGCACGCCTATTCGCCAGTAGGGTTGTCGAATGACCTGCTAAGGGACCAGTCTCAATGACCCCGCAAAGTGGCGCGGCATCTACATGTCATGCATGTATGCGCGGCATAGCACTACCCACTCACTAGTCATCGAAACATTTGCACACACTGAACTGAGCATTTAATATTGCAGATCTTTCGCACCAATCTCGACGTTTTGTGTAACTTCTTGACTCATTGTGATTGATGGTTGTAGGTGTCTAGTCACAAAGCAAACTGTGTGTTCAGACACGTATAATACCAGCCTTCTTCATCATCACGTTTTTGTCGTCTACCGGCACCGAATTCTCTTCGAACTTCTGCAACAGTTTTAACCTGTAGTCACCATGGCCACCACAGCGAATGGAATGCCAATGTAAGATTTATATCATTCATTTGGCCTATTGCCTTTTGGCTTCCATTTCCAGACGTAGGCCTTATCCAGACGTCTCTTCTTTGTGTACAAAGTCAAAGATTATGGAGAGTTGCATGCATTTTTAAGTGTTTTCTAATAAAATTGGATGTTTCTCAGTCATCAGTCCCAGATTCCACCACCACTCATAATCTGAAAAGTAGGCCTACAAAAAGTTGTAAATCTGATGAAGCAACAGTATTTAAGGAGTGCAAACATTCTTAAAACTGTCATGGCCCATAGACTTAGTGCAGGAAGTCTGAGTGGTGGCCCAGTATGGAATTCTTTCCAATGTCTTTTCCACATTTTTGTGTAGCTGGAGTTACCGAGCCCTGAGGTTTATCATTGGGTTCACAACCCAATGATAAAACTCAGGGCTGGGTAACTCCAGCTAATTTTTGTGTACCCCTAGAACTAGTATGGGTATTACACGTAATACGTTTAATACCCATAGTTCTAGGGGTAATTTTTGTGATGACTGACCTTGATTAAGCTAATATTAGAAATAATTAATAGGCCTATATAAAGGGAAAAAAAGTGGATGCAACATTCTTTCCTTCTTACAGAAACAGATGTGCTTTTTGCTTTTAACTTTGCCTCTTTTTAAAATTCATGCTATACTGGTAAACTCTGTATTTCACACTTGAGCAACATGTAGGGCTATGTAAGAGCTAATGTAGTGGCTATCGTTACGGCAGCCATAACACGATGTTCAACTGCGATCAATACACCATTGCAAAACAGCAGTGCGAATAAGGTTGAGTAACTCCAGCTCAAATGCTTGTCAGGAATTCAACAAGACGACAGTTAAAGGTTTACCCCTAGAACTATGGGTATAATAGTCATGATAGTTCTAGGGGTATTAATGGTGGAGGTCAATGTACGTTCTATCCAGCAGTAAAAAAAGGTGTCCCTAAAAAAAAACTGACTCCACAAAAATGGTCCTTTTCCGGCCATGTCCTTTTCCGATGATACGGCCCAATCAGAGAAACAACATTTGTGTATTGGTGCTGTATGTATTGTGACACACACACAATGTATAGGACTATAATGTCCCGGTATGCGTATGTATGCCACAAAATCTCTGTTGCGTCCAATGTAAACAACAGGGTGTTTGGGGGTTTTTTTTGTGTGTTTTGGGTTTTCTCAGGAACGGTAAGATATTAGGTTAGTTTCCTTTCAACCAGACCTTTCTGTGAAATAAGATAATTAAATTATCCAAACATACAATTTTCGGGTAATTCAGGCCATAATGCCCCATTAAAACATTTGTCTACTATACCGAAGGTTCTGGGATGGAATCCACGCTGCACTTTTTTTTTTCATTGACAGTTAATATTATAAAATTTCCATGGATACAATCTGCTCACAAGTCCACAGGTGTCAGTCCCATGACAAATGTAAACAAAGTGCCACATCAGCAACTTCCTCCTTCAGTACAGCTGTTGCTGCTGCTGCTGAGCATTTTCAGTTTCAGAGAGTACTTTATCTACATGTACTATGTAGAGTCTCATTAAAATGCTGATGTGAGTGACAATCTTGTAGGCTGTGACGCATTTGAGAAAGACCTATTCAGTAAATCATTTCCATTTTAAATTTTAACACCTGCAGTACACCAAGAGTTGTTGCATTTGTACTGCATTTTCTGCACTTTACCTTGAAAATCATGGGACAACCAAATGCAGATTTTTTTTTTTTTAAATGTACATAGGAAATTTTGTTTTAATGAAACATGGTTTGACTCGGACCTTCAGAAATTATACATACACCATACCAATTCTGTTCCAAATGCGCTGCATCCAGCTTTTATTAATTGCTGGATGTCTCAATTTTGTCATGGGTACGTCTTTGTTCTTTAGAGCCCAGGCACCTTCATTTATAGGGACCAAAATTAACCAAATTATGTGGTTGTAGCAATTATGAAGTGATATGTCTTCTCAAAATAATCCTTTTGAAAAGGTTTTACAATGTTTGTGTGGGGCTAATGGCATTTCAAGTGAGGGTGGGGCTAATCTTGTGAAATATTTCCCTATGTCCAGACAAAAGAGGGCCTTGAAACCCAGGGAAGTGGATCTAATGCCAGTAAAACTAAAAGAGAGTTATATAATAGGGTTAATGAGGCCATAGGATTCTCAGATACAACTGAAGGTCATCTATTTTAAACATTATGCAAACAAGTATCAATCTGGGCCATAGTGTACACATACTATTGTCCATTGAAGTGACCTTAAAATAATTGTTCCTGCAAAGTTATCTATTGGTGCCAGGTGTCTAAAAAACATGTCTGGCCCCCCTTCAATTTGTATTTTGTAATTTTTGCTGAGGAATGTAAATATAGGTTTTCCCGGCTATGTTAACATTTATCATTCAAATTCACCAATTAAAATTCACCCAGCAAACTCGAGTTAGTGTAATTTCCAATATTTTATTTCGTCCATCATGCAATTTCAATTTTAGTGCAAGCAAATTCAGACCATGCATGAGCACACATGCGTATTCGTCAAGGAGTTTTCAATTTCATCTCATCTATGCCGAGTCTTGTCATTCAGAAAACAAATTTGTCTGATGCCAAACAATTTGATCATGATTTCGTTCCTTTTTTGTTAATTTCAAATTAATCGTTTGTTCCTTTTAATTTTATCTTCTTAACAATACACTGGATTCCATTTTTGGCAGACACAAAATCAACGTTATGAAATTAAGGGTCATTGTACTTTTTGAGAGGGGCCTCGTAGCCGAGCGGTTAGAGCGTGGAGCTACAGAGTGGAAGGTTGGCGGTTCAAATCCCTTTCGGACCAAAAACTGGAAAACTCTCTCTGACGACCCAACAGTAAAATGGGTACCTGATTCATTCAGAGAAGGTAAGACGGGGAGAGGAGAGGACTGGGCACCGCCACTCATATGCCGCGCCCAAGACACAGTGGACCTCTAACATCCCACTGCCCCTACGGCCAGTAATGGCTATGGGACCTTTACCTTTACCTTTACCGTTGTACTTTGCAACATTTCTATTTTACTTTAACACTTATTCTTTTTTATTGTCAATTTAAATTTAATGTGTAAACATCGTTGTTTTTTGTGTTCTTGTTGATCAGTACATTTTCCTTTTGTTGATTGTTCTCTGAGTCTGATAACATCATGAATGTAAACAAATGTGCCACTCAGATTGTGCTCGAGGGCACAAGGAAAAAAGCATAAGAACACACCAGACTAGTTTACTTCAAACAAGTATTAAAGTGATTGATATTGAAGACAAATCCAATCTACATTGACCAAATATTCCTGACCAAATACTTAAATAGGTTGACCAAATTTAGAGATTGAAACATAAATAATCGACTCAATAGATTTTGTAATAAGCATGTGAAGTTTTTCTCGGACAAATTTGAATATTAGAATTGGTGATTTGGAACGAAAGTTTGATAGGCAGGAAAACCTATATTGTAAAACGTCTCTATTGTAAAATTCTTAAATTCAATTGAGTTTTTGTCAAAAATTTTCCCACATGTTTCACTGTGCTTTTAAAAAATTGGAATAATTTGCTGAAATTTCAAGATTTATGGGCTGGAATATTCAAGGATACATCCAGAAACCACCACAATTGACTGCTTTTGATTGATTACCCATATTTCAAATGTCACATTCAAATTTTACGTAGCTGTGTGCACTTTTTATTTTATATTTTTATGATCTATATCCCACTATTATTAGTTCATGTGAAATGCAAATAAGAGCCAAAAAATGGCCCATTCTGGTCAAATAGGCTTGTTTAAATTCACCAGAAGTTAATTTTCTGAGTAGTTTGGGGTAAAACTATTCCAATTAGGCAGGGTGCTCAAGAAAATTAGGTACCATCAACAATACACTTGATGTTTAGGCCAAAAAAAAAAAGTCTCCGGTTTCTGGTATGGAGCTTGCCCAAAAACTAGTGCGGCGACGCGGCTTTTTTTTTTTTTACCTGATTTTTTTTGCTTCAAATGTCAGCTGATGACTGCAAATGGTGCCCGACTAAACTCAGTGCAAATATAGGCCTATGGGAGTCCAGAGAGGCCACATAAGCTTATTTTCGACCATAACCCAATTTAAAAACACGTTAAAATTGTGCAGCAGCAGGATTCCAGTCAAACCAGTGAGTTTGGCGGTTTTGAGACATCATCTTTCATTGAAAAAAAAACTTTTTCATTTTGCCGACGCGCATGGCTACCGCGACGCGAGCGCGCGCATACCAGAAACCGGAGACTTTGGGGGAGGGGGGGCCTTAGCTTGACATGCTTGAGGAGACGCATAATCCCTATTATGCCCTGAATTGATTTCATTTACATATGCCAGCCAGCCATTCGTATCAGTTGTCACCAAAATTGGTTTTTTTTGTGAGTACTCAGTAAAAGCCATTCAATGCTGGGTTGGCCAGGATCAGTCATAATAAATGATTCATGGCCATTCATTGTTCATTCTATATAATGGAGTTTTTATTGCCTGCTTTCAAACTTAAAAGTGGCTACGTTTCAAGGATTTTATGCAGGTACTAGGTATGGATGGCTTGGTTTTAACTGAAATTGCAAAGTGCACTTAACCAGGCTCAGCTTTGCCTACAGGGAACAAACAACCTTGAAATTGTGAAAATATTTAAATTATAACTAGTCTGTCATGCGAATTTGTCAATTCAGACATGAACATTTTAAATATCACGTATGTTTGCACCTGAACTGCTTGTGGGAACTTTCTTGTTGAAACATGATCAATTTCTTTTCTCCTGAACATATAGTCTTTAATGTTATCTGCTGCATCACTCAGGATGTGACTCAACATCTTTTGGAACCCTGGAGACATTTGATCCATGATTTGGCAAAAACTTTAATCCCAAAGCGACTCGTAATGTCATGATTGTGCAGCTAAAGTCGTTATGTAAAATACATTATTGAAATTTCGAAGATATGTTCAGTTCCATCCCTCCAACTAAATGAGCACACTTTTGATTTCCAACATAGTAAAACCAATCTTTAGATTAAATAGACTTGATTTAAAGTATGTAAAGTCATACTATAAAGGGTGTTTAAAAAAAGGTTATCATACTTTAAAGGGTTAATTTGGCCAGACTAGATACGCTTACCAGCAAAAAGCATGGTATCATTTTAAATCAGAATCTACGTGCTTTTCAGTGATACCTTGGTTGACCTTCCACTGTTACACTTCATTGAGCACGTCTGTCTTGAAAATGTGGTGCAAAATTGGGGTTGGTTCACTTTCATGTCCAACAGAATCAGCAATTACCAGAGGACTTTCAAGATTCACCCTCCTACTATTTAAGAGGTCACCAATGGTCAAAATGTTTGTATCTCACCTCCTGGCATTCTGTGTACAAACCAATGGAGGTCTTGACCAATATTGACCCAAGTAATATAACCAGGCTGACAATGCATGTTGCCATAGGAGGGTTAGCTAAAGAGGACTTTCAAGCTTAAAGAGCACAAGCGCATACAAAAAATGAAGCAGACTCGGGCTCTTGTCAATCGTTGAATTTTATTCATGAGTAAAACATTTTCTACTTTCAACGCCAGGAAAATGGGAGTGTCCATTTATCTGTGGTTGACTCAAGATGACGCACCGGCCCACTTACTGTCTCATTGCTGTTTGAATCGCCTGCGGAAACTCTTTTGCGAGCGAGAGTTTGCTTTGAACTGCCCCGATTGTCACCAGACCCCACGCCCTGTGGCTTCTTTTTGTGGGGCCATTTGAAGAATAAAAGTGTTCAGCACCCCACCGCCCAACATGCTGGATTTGCGCAACTGGCTTCAGAGCGAAGTGGATATTTTAAGAGATGCTCTGGATACTGCGAGACGAGCTGTGGCATTGATGTCAAAGTGTGTGGAGAGGGGAGGTGTCATGGCGAATAAGTGAAATTCAAAAACTCATGCTTGAAAATGAATAAAATTCAATGATGCAAAAAGAACCGAAGTCTTCAAATTTGTTTATGCTAAGCTTGCTCCTTCATCTCGAATGTCAACATGAAAGTGAACCAACCCCAAGTTTGCACAACGTATAGTCTGGCCATATTTACCCTTTAAAGTAGGATTGCCTTTATTTTGAAACACTCTGTGTGCAAAACAAAGGCGAATCCGGAACCAAATTGGTGTGGAGGGGACCAGACCTCATTTGACTAAAGAGGGCACTCTTTTCCTGTTTTTCATTTAATTATTATTTCATGAATCTAAAGAGGTGTAAGGGGACGAGTAGCTCTCTTCTGCTTTAATGATTAAAACAATATAAACAGAAACGACTTATTAAAAAGACCTTTTACGTTTAACAAAGAAAATTAACCTTTGTCATTTCTTTGACAAAATAATAATTGACACCAGTGAGAGGGGGGGGGGGGTGTGACCCCCATTTCCCCCCCCCCCCAACCTTTTTCGAAATGCAATATTTCTCAGTTCAGATGAAAACAGGAATTATCTTTGTGCCAATGAGGGTCTCCTGAAGACGGTCGGAGCATACTGACCGGAACGTCGAGTTCATACCTCTGGTTCTTTTCAGAACCATTCTCTTAGTTGAGAAATTATTCGCACATGGTGTTTCCGCAAACCTTTCATTATTTAGTATCTCCACCATGCAAAGCCTCAAATCTTACTTGCCAATGAGGGTGTTTCTTCTCATCTGCAGGTATACTTACAGCGAGCTGGAGGGTTTTGCCAAAGTAATTCAGGACCGGTCTGAACACAAGCCCAGTGTGGGAATCATTTGTGGTACCGGCCTTGGTGGACTGGCGGATGTCCTTGAGCACAAAACGGTCATACCATACAGTGACATTCCTCACTTCCCAGTCAGTACAGGTAAACAAAACAGAACAAAACCCCTGCATTCCTGAATAGTGTATTTAAAAGCCTGAACATGTAGGAGGCCTACAGAAAAACGTACAGGCCAAGCCTGGTACTACTGAGCACTCCATATTAATTCTTAAATATGAAACCCATGCTCTTCAACACATTCAGACAACTTTTGTATTTGGAAATATAAAACAATTCTTTTTTTTGGGGGGGGGTGGCTTGTTTGGGGGGAGTTGAAAAGTGGGAGAGTAACTAAAGAGAGTCATCCTTTTTCAGATATCACATCAAAGACCACATCATAAGAGTATGCAAAATTCAGAGAGAGAAAATACATGAGATGTGACAAGAGAAAGATATGTGCACATCCAAGGGTTAACACTTGGCATCTCTTTCTTGATGGTTTTGTTACCTTTTTTACCTTTTATGTATTCGTATTTTTTTTTAAATTATATAGTCATTAATATATTGTTTTTATAATCAACAAATGAGAAAACACATTAATACAAAAACACCCAAAATGTGAAGAAATCAGCTGGTAAATGCCATGAAAAAAGTATATATCTGGAAATTAATCAAATGTAATACTTATATTCGTCATAAGAACTATAATAAAATAAATATTAGTAAAGGCGACAATTTGTCCATTGGCCCTTTGATAAATTAAGTCTAAAAGTATGAATTGTTTCTACTCCTGTCAACAGTCAAGGGCCACCATGGCCAGTTTGTCCTGGGTAAAATGAAGGGGAAAACAGTCATCTGTATGCAGGGACGCTTTCATCTCTATGAAGGATATCCAGCATGGAAGGTAATGAAGTATGTTTTATTTTCGAACGGGTCAGAAAGTTTTCAGGCTTTTGTGCGAGGAACAAATGTTGAAAACAATGTGTGAATTTGCCTTTTCACACTGTTCAAAGTCTCCAAGATTTCAGCCTACCCCTTTCACACTGGCAAATAAGAACCTGTGATGGCTTTTACAAGGGTCCTTCACATTACGCAGGGCCGCGTGCTGGCGCTGCATGTGACTGTAAACATGTTTTTGGTTCGGGACCGTTTTGGCGCTTGGGTTACACTGAAATTACGTCATTGTTCCGACCAAAGTTGAACTGAGACTTGCGATTGGTTCACTTATGTTTCAAGATGGTGCGGTAAACACGTTTTAGCAGACGACGTTACTTTGTTATCACAAAAGGAATTTAAACATGGGTTTGTACAGTCGTTTGGGTGAAGTTGATACATAACAATTAATCTGCCTAGGGAAATGCTGGAAACGTAACTACCTGACTTCCGCTTACAAATCGTGTAAAATTGACCAAAACATTGGTCTTCCCAAGGTGTTCATGATGGTCTGCTCACCACTGTGTTTGTTTACAAAATGAAGTCACAAACAATTTTGGGGTTAGGCGTTTTCACCGTGCACTGGAAACATGTTTCGCGTCTGTGACGTCAGAAACATGTTCTAGTTTAAGGGCCACCAAAAAATGGTCCAAGTAAAATTCAACCCTGGTTAAGACGGGGTTGGAATGGTACCCACTGGACACAAGCTAATGAGCTCAGCTTCGTGCATTACATTGTTTGTTGATTTTTTTTTGCTGATGAACGCAATTTATTCCATTGTCAATGGTTTAATATTGCTCATCCTTTGTAAAGCACAAAACCTTGTGGGAATTTGATATGTAAAGTTAGTACCTTTTTTTCTATTTTTTTAATATTTGAGAAATAAAATGTAATTATACATGCAAGTTGATATGTCTGACAGATGTCCAAAATATTTAGCAACCATCTGCTGTTCAGAATTATCTACATGTATGAAAACTATCCAAAAGTCGAGTTGTAGGACCCAGTAGAAAGAAGCATATTTTATCCCTGGTCTCAAGAGGTTTCATGAATTGAAATACCAGGGCTTTTCTTCAAAGTAGAGACCCAATGCAGAAGGTCACCCTACATGGGGGGGGGGGGTACCTGATATACTAGATCAGAGCCTGGGAATTGAACAGGGTTGTAATTCTTAGGTTGTTTTGGTTTGGAAGAAACTTTTTGTAAAGCTGGCAAGATCAAAACAAACGTTCTCTAGCTCAACTCATTTGAGTTTGTGCTACACGGTATGTGTAGTTTCTTGTGACTGCTCGGAAAAAACCTGAGGTATCCTTATCCCAAGGGAACCCCAAGGTTTAAGAACCCTTTCTCACACTATCTAGACACAACTTTTCTACCAAGTCCAGACCTCTAGTGAAATTCAGCACTGGTCAGGATCGACCAGAGAGGCTGTAGGGCCTAACCAGTTGAGAGGCTGTACCTGACAAGGTCACAGGATCATCAAAAACTGGATTTTCATAATCAGCAAAGGAACATGAAAAACACTGTCCTGAAGTAATTGGTTGCAGATGTATGCAGATGTACATGCAATTGCACTCATTTACATGGGAACCCCCCCCCCCTCAGATTTTCGAATTCTCCACAGCCAAAGAAATACATTCCAAAAGGAGGACAGAAACATGCATTTCTTTTTTTGTGGTATTTTATCACACACTGCAAATAGTTTTATGATTTCTGCCAGTGCTTAACACAATACCATTGTCATTTTGCCTTTGGTTGTTCAGCTACATGTACTGTATGTAGAGCCATTTTCGGAAATGCACCTTAATTCATTTCTGTTCAGTGTATGCAACCAGTGTTCTCCAACCTGTAAAAATAACCTGGTGCCCTGCCAAGCTTTCTGAGGCACCTGCCAAGCTTCAAAAGTTGCTGCCAAGCTTAAAACGTTGCCGCCAAGCATGCTTAAAAAGTTGCTCGCCATGCTTTGAAAGAAAAAGGAAAAAATAATAAAAATGACAGTGAGACTACCCTTACCCTCCAGGGTATACTTTGGCCAGAAACTCTGCCAAAAGCAGTAACATGCAACACTTGTCAAACTGACAAGCCTGCCCATTGTTACAATCCATCAGATCAAAAGTCTCAAGGCCAAACTGCCTCAGAGTCCCTGGGCACTGATGTATTAAAAAAGATGATGCTGAGCCAGTATTGTACTCAACTGTAAGTGTAACTGTTTTAGAAATGGCCTAAAAGCTGTTTTCCATACATAAATTACATGTTCATCTGCAAATAGCACCCCCTAGCTTATAGAAATGTATGACTGCACAGAGCGCCCCTAGAATATAGCGCCCCCACCCTTCGCTTTTTGACAGCGCACCGACCTTTAATTTTCAAAGTTGGAGAACACTGGCAACTACTGGCTAGAATAAGATGCATTCAGCTGTTTCTTTGCTCAGTGAAGCTGACGATTACGGTGTTTTAATCCTCTGACTCTTCATGAGAATAAATCCTGAAACCGTGTCCAGTTTACATCACAGATTTCATGTAATTAATTGTATTAAAATTGTTTCTGTTGCTGCAGATTGCCAGTCCAGTTCGTGTGATGAGCTTGCTTGGAGTCAAGACACTTTTCATCACAAACGCTGCCGGTGGCATGAACAAGAATTACAACGTTGGTGACGTCATGATCATAAAAGATCACCTGTTTTTCCCAGGATTGGCTGGGATGAATCCCCTCGTTGGACCCAATATGTCACAGTACGTTCCTAACTCTAGTCCTATGTGACCCAATCAACAATGTCACTTTATGTAACATACTGATAGTCAAAACAAATATTTACTGTGGTGATGTGCCCTACTTTTAGTCTAGGGTTGGGGTCCATCCACTATTTAAAGGGAATATACAACATTTGCAAAAATCGAAAATAAAACTACCAAGTTTTTATGAAATACCTTACTAGGATGTTGGTAAATGACAGTCTAAAGCATCCTGTAAAATTATGGCACCTGGTGTGAAGTCATTTTCAAGAAAATGGCATATTTGTATCTGTTTCCAGCGGTGGTCGGCCGACCACCGTTGGAAAAACCCAACTATTGTGCAACTACTGCTCAAAATTTACCATTTTTTATTCAGTTCAAATTTTGTTTGCTATTGGTTATATATTTATGAACGGGTGCAGGCCAGCTAGACTTGTTCCCTTACCTTACAATTTTCCGGCATCTGGAAATTGATCCATTTTATCTTTAGTGGAGTCAGGGAACCAAACTACTTGAACATTTTTTTTGTTTTTCTTAGTTTTTCCAGCATTTTCGAAGAAAAAACTTCAAACATGTCAGTGTAACAAAATTTGATCTATTATACTCCCCCTTCAAATAGTTCATTTCTGAAAATTACAGCAAAAGCCAATGATGTACATTCCCTTTAAAGTTCAGTTTTTGGATGACTGCTCTGACATTAGTGCATGTTCCATCCCATGCATGCAAGTGTACAGATTTCTCATCGTGTTCTCCACACTAAATTATTTCTCATCGGGGAAAGTCCCTCTGCACACAATACACAGCAGCGGTGTCATAGCAAAATGGAACCCCTAATTTATAGAACGACCCATATCCACGGTTTCCTACAATATCGGGACTCCCACACTCACGTTACAAAAATGTAACATGAGTAACCGATTTTGTGCGTCTTGTTTATCATACATAACACATTTTTCTGGATGTCATCTTTGGTGCTTAAGTAGGTCTAGGTCTACTCTATCTACCATGGGGATAACAGTTATTAGACCTTTTCAGTAAGGTAATTACAGCCCAAGGAAACTCAAAAGCACATCAAAAATGTAACGTGAGTAACTGTGGAATTGCCCCTTTAGACTGTCATTTACCAACATCCTATTAAGGTATTTCGTAAAAACTTGGTAGTTTTATTTTTCGATGTTTGCAAAATGTTGTAAAGTCCCTTTAATGTAGCTGTTTGTTTTCATTGACATGCACTTTTTTTCTATGTGTAGATTTGGTGAGCGATTCATCAGCACTTCGCATTTGTATGATGCCGGACTGCGAAAACTGGCCCGAGATATTGCAAAGGAAATTGGCTGTTCAGACTTCGTTCAAGAGGGAGTGTATGCGATGGTTGGTGGGCCATCCTTTGAATCACCAGCTGAACTCAGACTTCTCAATTTAACCTGTGATGTTGTGGGTAAGATCATCAAATCTACCCGTTATAATTTTTGTATATTGGATGGTAATCTCTTTTTCTTTGGTGATTTATGTGGTAGCATATCATATTTTTTAAAGTTTGCACATATGTGACCCGCTCTGCAAAAATGAGTCTGATGTCGCATAGCTTGAATTCCAGCTTTCAACACTTTTACATGGAAACAGTGAAAATTTGCTCAAAATTGGGATTTTTTGTTTTTGTTTTATTTTGGTTGTTTGATAGTTTTAGTTCAGATATCTTACACAGAAATTTAAATATTGTAAGAAAAAGACTAACAAATTTATGATTTTTGGTGCTTTTCTTGGTTAGTTACAGTGTATTTGTAATTTTTAAACCCTTTTTTCTTCATTGAGACATTTCTTGCTTTGCAAAAACTTGACAGAATCGAAAAAGGCACAACAGTGCAACCAAACGCCCTAGAGAGGCCCATGATATACCAAATGAAAGCTTATTTCATTCCCATTTTATTAATTTAGTTAACTCAAAATGTCAGTTTTGCCACAACAGACTCATTTTTGTGGAGCGGGTCACATATGTGTAAATATACAGATGGGTATATTGTGACAAATTAAGTGTCAAATGTATGTGCACGATCCTCCATAACAATTGCATTACCCCGGTGGTAATTTGTTTGATATAGTATAACACTGTATAATACCACATGATATATCGATGATATACATGTAGTAAATACCACACACATTATGTTGTACAAATTTCACTGCCCTGTGGTAATTTGTGTGGGTTGTCACAGTACAACAGCACTACCACGGTCTGTGGCAATTACAACACACATTTGTCAGATATTCTCCTTGAACCTCATGTCCTCATTTTTGTGTGTGTGGTATTTAGCATGGTACCACAGAAGTACCACAGGATATAAAAGGTACCACACACATTTGTGTGGTACTCTCCTCCAATTCCACTGACCTGTGGTAGTTTGTGTGGTATTTAGTACAGTACAACAGAAGTACCACAGGATATCGAAGGTACCACACACATTTATGTGGTAGTCTCCTCCAATTCCACTGACCTGTGGTAGTTTGTGTGGTATTTAGTACAGTACAACAGAAGTACCACAGGATATCGAAGGTACCACACACATTTATGTGGTACTGTCCTCCAATTCCACTGACCTGTGGTAGTTTGTGTGGTATTTAGCACAGTACAACAGAAGTACCACAGGATATCGAAGGTACCACACACATTTATGTGGTACTCTCCTCCAATTCCAATGACCTGTGGTAGTTTGTGTGGTATTTAGCACAGTACAACAGAAGTACCACAGGATATCGAAGGTACCACACACATTTATGTGGTACTCTCCTCCAATTCCACTGACCTGTGGTAGTTTGTGTGGTATGTAGTACAGTACAACAGAAGTACCACAGGATATCGAAGGTACCACACACATTTATGTGGTACTCTCCTCCAATTCCACTGACCTGTGGTAGTTTGTGTGGTATTTAGTACAGTACAACAGAAGTACCACAGGATATCGAAGGTACCACACACATTTACGTGGTACTCTCCTCCAATTCCACTGACCTGTGGTAGTTTGTGTGGTATTTAGTACAGTACAACAGAAGTACCACAGGATATCGATGATTGGTGGCAAATACTACACACATGTATGTGGTACTCTTCTCAAATCCTGCTACTGTTCTGTGGTACTTTGTGTGGTACCTACATGTACATGTACCACAAGAATACCACAGGACCGCGTTGTCCACTGTTTGGATTACCACATTGTGGTACTCTGGTGATATATACTTTTCCTGTGGTAATTTCTGTGGTAAACATATGTGTTACAGAAGTACCACAGGAATACCACAGGACATTTTCGTAAGGGCTTCTAGGGAACAATGCATATGTAGCAATATTCTATCGGTAAGTATTCACCAGTAGAATCGGCCCACACCTAGCTTTGTGGAGAAGGGGGAAATTTATGCCCTAATAATTGTCAACTAAAATAAGTACATGTACAGGGACCATGACAAGTCTAATTAAAAAACCGTCGAAAGTCAAACCACAAATCGGGTCAAATGTTACAGTGGATAAAATGACGATGAAGGAAATGCCTTTGTGACAGCTAATAGTTTGTGACACCAATATAGAGTCTGATAGGACTTGTGATTAACATGTTATAAATAATGTGATGATATGATTCCAACTCTTGTCCAGGGTACAACACTTGTTTGCATTGACCTTATCCAGTGAGAGTACTTAGTACGCAATTTTGTACTCCATGACTGGCAAACTCTCTTCTTGCACCACTCGCAGGTATGAGCACATGCCCTGAGGCAATCACCGCCAAGCACTGTGGGATGCGCGTCTTTGGTATGTCTCTGGTCACCAACAAGTGTCTGATGGACGTTGACTTGACAGAGGAAGATGCCCCAAATCACGTAGAAGTCTTGGAGACGGGAAAGCTGAGAGAGGAGATTTTGCAGGAGTTGGTCACCAAAGTGGTGGAAAAGATGGACAACTACTGATGAGGAGAGAGAGAGAATACGACAGTGAGATAAAGTCAGTCGTTATGGGGATAGATAACCATAGATACATGTACATGTGGCTATTTTGAAAAAAAAGTGGACCATTATTTTTCTGAGCTATTAAAGTTTGTAATGCAGTGGTGTGTCCTTACCACCCTGAAAAATAATTACTACAATGAAGATTTAAAAGTGACATATTCAAATCAAATTCAATAATTAAAGAATGTATTATTTTTGTTTTTACAGATATATACAATACCCAAGTGTGATAAAAAAAATTGTTATAGACTTGAGTTTTAATAATGATAATAATAATCGGCATTTAAGAACACTCTTATTAGTAAACCAAATCACAGCGCTTACAGTATTATTATTACCCCTGATCATTGGGCCAATTAAACGTTCCAAATACCATCTCAGCTCCCTGGGGAGTATACAGCTCGATGCTGTCTGTTAGGCGCAAGCAAGCTAATTCAATCACAATAACCATCTCTGCCCTCACAGGTACCCATTTACTCCTGGGTGGAGAGAAGCAGTGAGTTTTACATGTATAATGAGGTGTTACTCGCCCTTATTTCTTATTTTGTTTGCTTGAATGCATGCATACTTGATATTTTTAGTTTACTGGATGAACATTCAACTCTGATAGATACATTCTGATGTAGTAGGTATTACTCTGAATTCAGCATTATTAAATTTATAGCTTAAAGCACATTTGAAGAGAAACTTGATTATGGCAGAGAAAAAAAAACATTTGTCATTAAGCAGGAAGATCACAAGTTGCTTTTGAGCTGCCATACATATAAACCAGACAAAAAAAAGCATATGGCACTAGACGAATAATGTGAGAAAAACAAACACTTTGCAAAAAAAGGGAGAACATTGACACAACATACCCCCATGCAGTACAAGATCAAAACATGGAAATATAGAAATGGAGTGCAATGGAGACATATTTTAAGTTCCCACAAGTTTATGAACTTAATTGTTTTGTTTTTCAGGGAAAGTTTGTTTTTCAGGGAAAGCTTCCATCTATTTTTGATATAAAATCAGGAAAAACATAGCATTTGTTCATTGGAAGTGATTAAAAAAATTAAGATGACAGCCCAAGGTATTGTGTTACAGTAACAGTTTAGTCGAAAAAAATGTTGACGGGAATAAACAATTGAGCAACAATAAACAAAAGAGCAATTTTTGTGCAATGTATTTTGAATGTTGGGGGCTTTTTTCAACCTACCTTTCCCCAAGTCTGTACTCCAGAATGTGTCCAATAATCTTCTTTTCGGTCTCTGAGTTTCAGTAATCCTAAAATTGTAAATAACAATTTAACATTCAAGACTTTTAGGAACAGTGTACAGCTGAATAGGCTACTAAATGACACTATTTGAAATATCTTCCAGGAAATATGTAGGTTGTCCATTGTCAAAATACTCATGATCCCATGCCTTGTCATCTGGTTTGAATGGACCGATCCAGTAAGCACTGCCCCATGGTATTCTGACCAATCACAGCCGTGATTTATGTCCGACATGCGTGCACGCGCGTATGATGCGCGCGGCAGGAAAATGCAGTGCGTGTGGCATTGGAGAGGAGCATGTGTTAATTTGCCCACGTGCGCAGTGGGCGGGGCTTACTGGATCAGTCCATTCGTAATGGTGAATGACTTTCCTTGAAGTGGTAGTCATAGTACATATAATCATGGCGATCTACTTTGAAATGTACCTCATAAGCATTTTGGTGTGAGCTAATGTAACTTTGGAAAGTACATTGAATATATATTTATTTTTGCTGTGTATTAATGGCCTGTTAACTTTGAAAACAAGTTTGTTGCTTTTTCTTTTCACTCTGTACAGAAGTTAAAGATTTGCCTCCATATTATAGGTGGTGCATATCATTGTAACAAATTACACATTTGAAATTGTAATTTTCTTCAACCTATGTTTTCAATCCCAGAAATTTTGTGTATAGTTTTTCTTTCCACAGATTTGTTTATTGTCTTGTTATCTATTCTATGAGCGGTAGACATGGTTTGGATGGTATCTCTGTGTAGCACTCTTCTAATTTTACACTGTAACATTTGTCTAATTTCCTACAGAGAAATATTGTATATTTTGTTTAATCTGGCTTTTGGATGTGGTCATTTTTTTAAATTTAGTGTATGCACTCAATATGATTAAAAAGTGAGTTGTTTTTAGCATATGGGTAGCCTTTTAACTGTGGTTGAAGCAGTAGTTGCAAAGGAAAGTAAGTCCCCTAACTTCCATCTTGTTGTAATTCATTCAAGTGCCTCCAAATTCCCTGTCACCTATCAGTATTCCTGATAGGCACTGCATGTTACCGCCTGTCAGGAGCACACACTTAGTTGTGTTATTTACTTGTGTTTGTGTTATAGTGGCTTACTAGTTGAAATGATTTGAAGTTAGCCTCCATGTACACGCTAATATTATGCATGATGTGTCACAAGCAAGTTTTTGAAATTTGCGGGGCTTCTGACAAATGTTGTCCTTGAGACCGTCTTAATTAAGAATTTTTTTTTTATCGAGGCTCTTCAACTGATGTCCACGTAATTGGCATGCTTATACACGTAGTCATTTCTGGGTTCACCATCTATGATAGGCATGCATATTTACTTATATGACTGTGACTCTAGATGGTTACACCCCTATGTTCCAACACCCCTATGTTCCGACTGCACATATTCCTATTCCTAACCCTAACCCTAACCCTAACCCTAACCCTAAACCGGGAGTACACAGTCTTATGTGCGGGTTGTCGGAACTTAGTTGTGTCGGAACATAGAGCAGTCACCCTCTAGATATGTCACAATTTTATTTTCTGATGGATTGAAACCTACACTCTTGGAAACTTTCAGGTACAAAACACAGCGCTTCCATTCTGCATGGCTGAAACCAAGATAAATTCCCTCAAAATCAGTGAAAAAAGTTTTCATTTGAGAAAAACAAAATCACACTACCATCATGTGACTTGGGCATTTATCAGAGGTTTTGGGTGTGTGTGTGTGATGAAAATTAGGGGATTTCCTTTTGCTTTCCTTAGTAACAAAATATTAAACCGAATTTAAGCAAAATGTAATCAAAATGTAATCAATTTTTTTTATGTTACATAAGAGCGTTTCTGTAAAGATAACTGCGAAATGATGAAAGAAGTTGTACAGATTGGATTTTGAACTCACTTTACCATTGTGAAAGGGAACAATATGAAGTAATATCAATTCATATTTGTATATACTTAAAATAAACACTGGCAGGCTAAATAATGCATCAAATACAAATTTGCAAGTATTATTATGTAAAATACACATTTTTACATAAGCAAAATAGACATTTTATTTGTTTTGGGGGGGGGGGGGGATCGGCTGTGAGGAGTAACACAATTGCAAAGTGCAGCAATGTGGCCAGCACTTTCTTATTTTTTAGTCAATATAGAGGGCGTTATCAGTTGAGTGAGTTGACCACGCCGCGTGTGATATAAGTTTGAGCATGTTTAGGGTTTGAGCAATTTAACCATTTCCTATAGAAATTGTCCCAAATGGTTCTATTTTTGAATTTTATCTGAAGAATAAAAGCTGTTGTGTATTCTGCATTGCATTTCTGTGTGGACGTGTTAAGATCTGTTAAGATTGTTTCTTGTGAAAATCGATTCACGATTAGTGGCCCAGATTGTGAAAATGTTAGCGTATTTCCCAGTTTTACCAGACAATGTAGGAGTGGTAAACTATTTCTTTTCCCCTCCTGATGATGGAGCAAGTGCTTGGCATAAAAGTCTTATAAATGGATCAAATAATAGGTTTTGCCCTTGGTGGTGTGACGTCTGCACTATAAGACGGGAGATCGTGGGTTCGAGTCCCACCCGAGTGATTGTTTCCAACTTTCATTCGGGAGGTAACACACTGAGTATACAGTGTTTAAACGTCGGTGAAGGGCAAAACCTATAATTTGATTTATATCACCCCAACGCAAAAATTCCATCTTATAATTATCTTATAAATGGAAGTGTGTTGTCAATTGAAGTGTGTTGTCTTCGGGGGGTTGGCATGGTTGGGTTTGTAGTGAAATTGAGTGATTCCCAGCCAAGTACCTCATGCAGTAGCACCGTACGTGGGCGGCGACGATCCCTACTTTTCTGTTTCTAAAGCCGGCCACAGGTCGACCCACGATTTGCTTGCGCCACGACGGAACCCTCGGCATCAAGCAGAAAAATAATGCTCAGGTCACAAAACTGAGAAATCGAATGATAGTCTGTCCTTAAAAGAAGCACGAAACGTGGCCTCAACGGTTCATTTACTCATTTTGTATTTTTAGGCCAGAGTCAAGGTAATAATTAAAAAGACAAATGCGAGGCTCAATATTAAAGTTTCCGGTCGACGTGTTGCCTACTGGAGCAGTTGATATAAGCGAAGATGCTTTTGGAGAACAATTGGACCGGTCACCGTGCCTTGATGCCTATCGATGTTGGAGGCCATCTTACCTCTATTTAATTAACTGAAAAACTGCACTGCAGTATTTCTCAAAATCCTACCAATTGGCGAATGTATTCAACACGCAAATTAAAATGTATCGATTTTCTTCGGCAGTGCAAGAGAAAAAGGAGTACTTTATCGCCCCACTCCCCAGAGTTTTCACACAAGACGTGTTGCGTCTTGGCGGTTGCACCGATTCTGTATCTACAGTTGAACGCAAAATATTGTTTTGAAAAATAGCATCATATCAGTGGAACACCTATATAGGCTTAGTCCCTAATAACGGACTCCGTCTACCCACACACCAGTGGGCCTACACGTTAGGCGAAAAGATGCATGGGCTATTTTAAGGAACCTTAACTTGACTCCATGCAAGGACTTCAAAGAGCTCTAATACAGGCGACTTATTTAAAAGGATCTTATTGTTGACTTCAGCTTCTAAGATGGAACTATTGGCGGCTTTAGCGACAGTTCTCGCTTTTGGCGGAGTGGATGCAAGTTGTATTGATTTATCAAACTCCAGATTTTGTTATATTGGACTGGTATCATGGTACAGCGCTAATGATACATGTTCTACTATGGGTGGTAGCATTATAGTACCTGAACCTCCGACTACCGGGACAATGATGAACACTTTCAAACAGATGGACGAATTACCAGGAGACGGGCCTTATCGGGTGTGGATCGACTGTGTCAAGAACGACATGATGAGCGGATGGGTCCAAGCCGATGGTTCGCAGTGTGAAAATATCGCATGGAAATCGGGCGCACCTTTTGAAGGAAATTGTGTGCTTATACACCACGGAAAATGGTATGCAGCAAACTGCAACAGCAACCGTGTCGCTATTTGCAAGCTGCCGGTCGTTGTTGATCAGCCCAGCGCAACTTCGGAATTTCCTATCGACCAAACCACTACCAATCCTACTACTGTCGACCAAGTCTTGGTCACCTTCAATACCGTCGGTCAATCCTCGATCGACCCTGATGTCAAAACCGAGTCCACTACTGTCGACCCGGTCGACAACGAGTCTACTGTCAACCCAGTAAATACCAAATATACTGTCAACACAGTCGATAGCGAGTCTACTGTCAACCCAGTTGATACCGAGTCTACCGTCAACCCAGTCGATACCGAGTCTACTACTGTCGACCCAGTCGATACCGACTCTACTGTCAACCCAGTCGATACCGAGTCTACTGTCAACCCAGTTGATACCGAGTCTACCGTCAACCCAGTCGATACCGAGTCTACTACTGTCGACCCAGTCGATACCGAGTCTACTGTCAACCCAGTTGATACCGAGTCTACCGTCAACCCAGTCGATACCGAGTCTACTACTGTCGACCCAGTCGATACCCAGTCTACTGTCAACCCAGTCGATACCGAGTCTACTGTCAACCCAGTCGATACCGAGCCTACTGTCGACCCAGTCGATACCGAGTCTACTGTCAACCCAGTTGATACCGAGTCTACTGTCAACACCGATTCTACTGTCGACCCAGTCGATATTGAGTCTACTGTCGACCCAGTCGATACCAAGTCTACTGTCAACCCGGTCCATACCCAGTCTGCTGTCAACTCAGTCCATACCGAGTCTACTGTCGACCCAGCTGGTGTCAATATGCTCGCTGCCCCGTCGATGTTTTGCCTGAAGACCGACGCTGATGGCGGCCTCACATCCCAATGCCTGACCGGTCACGTCATCAAGGAGTTCTCCACCACCAAGGGTGTCATCGCGTGTGGTTCGGCGTGCCGGGATGAGCCTCGATGCCGCTCCTTCAATCTGCGTCAAGTCAGCCGCGGGGAGAAGATCTGTCAATTGAATGACATCACTCGCAAAGAAACCGGACAAATTGACAAGGACCTTGACAACTCTTGCTCTTATTTCGATCTGTAAATGCAGCAAGAATGTTGGCCGGGTGGACGACACTCTGCGAGCAGATACAGCAAAGACTCAAGTCGTCGTTGGACACATTGGTGAGAGATAAGCATATTTAGTCTGGTGTGGCCCACGTGTAGGCCTATTATCTCTGGTGTGTACAACTTGCATTCACTAAAATAGGTGTGTAATCAGTGGGGAGGGGGCACTTGCACCCCAGTGGTTCATCCCGCCCATTTAACATTTTGACTTGAACATAAATAAATAGCATTTGCCTTCAGTGCCTCCCCGCTGAAAAATGTATGCACCCCGTGTACCACCCCCGCTCCCCCCCCCCCCCCCCCAAGTTTAACCCTAGTTTCGCCACGTTGGGTAATCAAAGAAAAATGTTTAAGATTTTTGTTTTATTAATTTATTTCATAATGTTTTTATTCAAAATGTACAGTATGGTACCAGTAGGTTGAATCGCACTCTAGCTTCGTACATTTGAATAGTTATTAATTAATTAAAAATGGAGTAAATTGCAGCCTTAGTCGTGCATGTGATACTCTGTCCTACACAGTCATGTTTTTGTAAAACGTAAATTTTCATAGCCATATAGCAAACCATAGGTTTTGGTAACTGCTGAATCAGTTATACACACACGAATGTATTCTACGCCAGGGAATCAGGAGTTTTGGCCCTAGCATAAATCAAATGTAGCTCATATGACATGACGTCGTTTGAAGAAAAGAAATTTTTTAGCCAAATTTGTTGAAAAATGTAAGGGATAACCCCTTGCAATTTTTTCAATTTCGGCCAAAAAATTAAATTACGCCAAACTTCCAGGAAAGTTGCCTTAATGACTCTAGAAGACATTCCAACTCGCTTTCTGGACGGGTGTGCCGTAAGAAAATTTGGGTCAATAAAAATCAGTGAAAAATAAGATTTTCTTCTCAATAAATCGATCATTTTTGCCCAAATCTTCGAAAAAAGAAGCAGTCTGAATATTGCATGATACCCTTCTTGCATCAAAAGTCATTTCTGCGTCGTTTGGAGAAAAGTCATTTTTTGGCCAAATTTGATGAAAAATGTAAGGCTAACCCCTTGCAATTTTCCAATTTTGGCCAAAAATTTAATTGCGCCAAACTTCCAGGAAAGATGCCTAAGGGACTCTAGAAGACATTCCAACTCGATTTCTGGACGGATGTGCCGTAAGACAGGAACAATGCGTCGAAAATTTGGGTAAAAATCAGTGAAAAATAAGATTTTCATCTCAATAAATCGATTATTTTGCCCAAACCTTCGAAAAAAGGACAGTCTGCATGTTGTAGGATACCCTTCTTGCATCAAAAGTCATTTCTGCGTCGTTTGAAGAAGAGTCATTTTTTGGCCAAATTTGATGAAAAATGTAAGGCTAACCCCTTGCAATTTTCCAATTTTGGCCAAAAATTTAATTGCGCCAAACTTCCAGGAAAGATGCCTAAGGGACTCTAGAAGACATTCCAACTCGATTTCTGGACGGATGTGCCGTAAGACAGAAACAACGCGTCGAAAATTTGGGTCAAAATCAGTGAAAAATAAGATTTTCATCTCAATAAATCGATTGTTTTTGCCCAAATCTTCGAAAAAAGGACAGTCTGCATATTGTATGATACCCTTCTTGCATCAAAAGTCATTTCTGCGTCGTTTGAAGAAAAGTCATTTTTTGGCCAAATTTGATGAAAAATGTAAGGCTAACCCCTTGCAATTTTTTCAATTTTAGCCAAAAAAATTAAAATTGCGCCAAACTTCCAAGATAGATGCCTAAGGGACTCTAGAAGACATTCCAACTCGATATCTGGACGGATGCGCCGTAAGACAGCAATAATGCGTCGAAAATTTGGGTATATAAAAATCAGTGAAAAATAAGATTTTCTTCTCAATTAATCGATCATTTTTTCCCAAATCTTCGAGAAAAAAAAGTCTGAATATTGTATGATACCCTTCTTGCATCAAAAGTCATTTATGCGTCGTTTGGAGAAAAGACATTTTTTGGCCAAATTTGATGAAAAATGTAAGGCTAACCCCTTGCAATTTTTTCAATTTTGGCCAAAAAAATTAATAGCGTCAAACTTTCAGGAAAGATGCCTAAGGGACCCTAGAAGATATTCCAACTCGATTTCTGGACGGGTGTGCCGTAAGACAGCAAAAATGCGTCGAAAATTTGGGTATATAAATATCAGTGAAAAATAAGATTTTCTTCTCAATAAATCGATCATTTTTGCCC